AAATAAACATAAGCTTTCAATGCTTATTTAATTTTCAAAAGGATGTCCAACAAAACAAATGCAATTTTAATTGTAGGCTATTTTCAAATAACTATATTCTGGCATTGGTATGCTTATTTAGACAGTAGTGTTTTCTACAGATAATTCAATTTTCTGATAGTGTTGCACATATATATTGAAGTAAAATTCTAGATACTGGATTTTAAAATAAATCATCACAAGCAACGGTGGCTTAAATTCATATTATATTTTGGAATTACAGCCAACTGCAGACATTCATCCAGTTAGGTAGGAGATTCCTTTCAACAATACATCTCAGGAACAATACAAAGGATAGTCACTATTCCATGAGCAAACCAAATGCAGTCAAGGAGAGGTAAGAAGAGATCATTACTGTTGTAAATGTGTCCTTATAAGACATAGCCCTTAATAAACTTCACAATTCACATCTAATTATTTATCACTTATTGGTCCGAAGGAACTTATGCATCCTACAAAATCAGGAGTAAGGCAGATATAATATTAGACTGTAAACATTGTTTCATATTGAAAATATTAGTATGAAAATATGCATCTTTGGATTTCAATTTTGTTTGTTTTTATTTTGAATTGACCAATCTTTTGTTCACTGCATAAACCTAACTGCACAAGTCATAGGTAATTTGACAGCAAGTTATTTTGATATATTAGAAATATTTGATCAGCATAATGTCTAAATTACCAGGAGGTGGTAGAAGATTTGATAATTTCTGTTAAGGTGAAGGCAATTGCTCAGGTCTTCAATTGATACTGTAATATTTTGCCAAATTTCCTATGACTTTGGTTATGCTATTAATCAAACATATATATATGATATATTGTGTGCTACATTTTGCTAGTCATCTGGGAGCTGTACTATTTCTGTGTTGGTTAACAGCATGTACCTTGTTGGTACAATTCCTGAGCTGTCTGCAGCTGCAAATTGCTTGGTTTTGAGGCAGGTTTTAGTTTGGTATTATTTGTGTCTGTTATTTTGACACCCCTGTGGTAATTCTGGTAATTGCAGTTGGTTGTTTTATCACCTCTGTACTACATTCTTTGAGCTCCATACCAGGCTCTGTAAGTAACAATATGGGGTCATTGAGCTTCACAAAAACATTTGGTATGAGTTGTTGTGGGTCAGTACACTCCACAGAAATTCTCCCATGCCTAATTCAAAATCAGTCAGCTTTGTGGCAAATTCTGTAATGAGCAGCTGGAAATTGCTTCATGGAGAGTTCAGAGAAGTTGAAATGTTCCCAGTCCCAATCCTAGGTGTTTTTGCATGTTTTTTGAAGTGTGGTATTTATAGTGTTTCTGGTCTGTTTCTCAAACAAGCATTCATGAAAGTTAGGTATTGCACTTCACAGCTATGGTTCAGATAGAATGCTTACAAACTCATTGCTGCTAGATGGGTCACAGCACAAGACTTCTGTATGCTACAGCAAGTGGGTGGTAGATGCTTGCGCATTTTTACACATGAAGTGTGTGAGAACTAGGGGTCTACCACTGTGTAAAAAGAGGTAGTTTTATAATACAGCACATATCACAAAGTTGATTCACATACAAACTGCCTCCATATGTATATTAATTACAATGTTCTAACTTTATCCACATACCTATTATTCACATTCAATGCATGTTATCATTTCTACGATCACATTTGTGTATTTGCCTGCTCTAGAAAGTCTTGAACATGCATCCATTTAGTCCACAACAATATTACACAATTCACAAGATAGCACAGTTCCTGGGGAATTTGCAACTTAGATTGTTTATATATAGGACATACTATTTCTTGTAATGTTTTGCTGTACTTTGTTCCCATAGACTGAATGTTTTTTAAAAAAACCTATTTAGAGAATCTTGGAAAGCTTAGCACAGAAGGAAGAAGCTTGCTCAGCTCATTGTTTCTGTGTTGTAACAGCTTGTCATTGAAGATATCTAAGTTAACCTAATTTCTCTCCTCTTTCCCCATACCTTTCAAAATCTTTCTTCTTCAAGTTTTTAATTGCATTTCAAACAACGAGTTCTCTCAACAGTCAACTGCGTTTCGCCAAGGAATGTATCACTGCTTATGTCAAAAGTTAATGCCTAATAATTCCCTATCGTTTTACAAAAATGAAGGGAAAATCATTTACTGTATTGTATATCAATATGACAGTCAAAATATTCTTTCAGTGCTCCAAGACATTCCCCAGGTGAAGGGCCCTATATAAACCCAAGTTGTTGTTGTCATATAATATCCTCTGCAACATGTTTATTTAGTCACATCTAACGCTCACACAAAATCTAGCTACAAAACTGAAAAAATTGATAACATCTTGTTCTTTACATCGTACCTACTGTCGTCAATAAGAGAGTGCAGAAAATATATAGGACTTCTGATGCCGACACATCCGACAAGCCAAGGTTATGATAAAGATTGAGTGAGGCAGTTATGCCTTTACTACTCCCTTGACTTTTCCACCTGTCCTCACACATCCCACTAACCCTCATCAGATCTTTAAACTTTGTTGGTTTTCCTTTCACTCTCTTTCGGGCCTCAATTCCAGCACAAGCTTTTCCCACCTGTTGCCCTTTGTCCATGATCCCTGCCTAATTGTGTTCCCATTAGTACCTCTGCAGCCTGAAATGTCATCAGAAAGCGAAAGCAGTGCTGTAACACAAAGGAAGGAAAGGATTGAAGCCAGTGCCAAAATTGTGATTTTAGTGTAGTTTTCGATTAAATACAGACCCATAAAGGCCTAAAATGATTGTTACAAGTATACCTTTTCCCTTAAAATCTTTGGACTTGAAAAAAACACAACTGAGAATGATAACCTATGTGGGTAACCAGGGAGCGATGAACAGGTATTCAATTGCAACAAAACAAATTCCACACAATGCGGCCATTATACTAATCATTAGTAACTAATATGATCATAAAGGCTCCTGGAACAAAGTAGCGATAAATATTAAATTAACATCAGATGAGGATAAAATCAGAGCTCCCCCTCTCTTTATTTTGGGGATAAACAGCAATATTTACAACATTCTGAAGCTTGTAATTGCAAGTGTCTATGCTTGTCTTTGTAGTTAGTATGCAATGTTTTTCATCTCGTGCAATGTCTTAATTGTAAGCACTTCCTAAAAATCTAGGCTTCAATAGCTTTTATCATGCTTTGTCTTATTCCATAAATTGGTCAGAGAGTACTTTTATTCACAATAGGGAGTGCAGCTATCTAATCATATACCCTCACCATTACCCTACTGAAAATTGCCCATAGATTAATTTTTAAACTTTGCCATTCTAAAAGAAAAATGCTTCTTTCCATCTTTAATTGAAGTGAGCCTCCTGGTGGTCAATGGGGAAACCTGTAAACTCACAAAGACGTAGAGTAACAATAAATAACATCAGTGCAAATAGAGATAAAATGTAACATTATTGGGGAAAAAAATAGGTGTGAACTCTTCAATCACATTTTAATTATGCAGAAATGTAATGAAAAAGTTTCACACGGTATCCAATTATATGGCACCATGACAACTAAGAAAAAAAGGACAATTAAAATTGAAATTTTAATTGCAATCTTATCTGTAAATATATCTGACTTATTCCTTCAAATTGTTATTCATTTATGGCTAGATATCGCTTCTTCCTACTCATCTTTCAATGAATAAAGATCAATCATATTCATGAGGCCATAATTACACTGCATAATTATACAGTGGAGGTCATCACTCCGAGAACACATTCACCAGTGTTCAAGAAATAAGCAGTTGATACGGCTCTCACATGATGCATTGCTGAAACGTAGAACACAAGTTCAACAAAGCAGTTCTCTACATGGCAATTCTGAAACCAAGTAAGTCAATGCTGGTGCCCTCCGAACTGCCTTGAAACAGGAAATGTGCAAGAAATCAAAAAAGCACAAAATAAAACATCTTATTAGGGGAAGGGAAAAGGGAAATTCAAACTGAGGAAAGCAAATAGTCGTCTTATTTTTCAAAGCACTTCGCAGAATTTACTATAAAGTGAGTATTTTGTGGGCAAAGCACAACCAACCGTGGAGTGAGTGACCAATCTTATCTGGGGTAACGTTTGCCAAGACACTGCGAGAACTCCCTTCTCTTTTCGAACAGCGCCATGGGAACTTCAACGTCCACCTGGATAGGCAGGTGGGTCCTTGCTTTAATGTCTCGGCACCTCTGACACCAGTGTTTCCCCGGTTCTGCACCCTGTGCCAGTGTCAACAACAACAAGAAGATTCCATTTATAAAGCGCCTTTCACGTCAGGAGGACGTCCCAAGGCGCTGCACAGTTGGGTCATGACCCAAGCACGGGGGAAATGGTCAGGGTGAGGGGAGGGAAGGGAGGGAGCGAGGAGGGGGGAAATGGTCAGGGTGAGGGGAGGGAGGGAGCGAGGAGGGGGGAAATGGTCAGGGTGAGGGGAGGGAAGGGAGGGAGCGAGGAGGGGGAGGAGAGTCGAGAGGGGAGCTGAAGGCTCGGTCAAAGAGAAAGTGTCAAACCCAATACCTTCCCCCAGGGGTCAGCACTCCCCCCCCCCCACCCCCAGCGCTGCACTGCAGTCAGCCTGGACCATGTGCATTTCAACCGAGAGGGATTGTGGGGCGGTCGGGCCTTCCGCCACTGTGCCCCCCACCCTCTGGAACTCCCTCCACCTCGCCCCCTCCCTCGTCTCCTTCAAGACCCTCCTCAACAATCTCCTCTTCAGTCGTGCTTGCGATCTCCCTGCTTCCCCCCCACCCTCCCTCACCCCCCCTCACCCCCACTCCCCCCCCCTCACTCCCCCCCCCCCCCCCCACTCCCCACCCCCAGGTCGGGTCAGTCCCTCGGTGTGTCCAGCGTTGGGCGCCGCGACGGCTTCACACATGTCATTGTGTTGTTGTTGTTGTTGTCGTCGTCGTCGTCGCATCCAGAAAACAGCCAATCACCGCCCGGGGAAATGAACCAATCACAGGCGGCGCGATCCCTGCCCTGTGATTGGCTGACGGCGACAAACGGAATTTATTTTGAATCCAAGTCGGCGCCATGGTCAACCTGGTGAGTGTGTGAGAGCGGGGCCTGGGGGGGCCTGGGGGGGAGAGCGGGGCTGGGGGGGCCTGGGGGGGAGAGCGGGGCCTGGGGGGGCCTGGGGGGGAGAGCGGGGCCTGGGGGGGGGAGGGGGCCTGGGGGGGGGGAGGCGGGGCCTGGGGGGGGAGGAGCGGGGCCTGGGGGGGGGGAGCGGGGCCGGGGGGGGGGAGAGCGGGGCCTGGGGGGGGAGAGCGGGGCCTGGGGGGGGGGGAGAGCGGGGCCTGGGGGGGGGGAGAGCGGGGCCTGGGGGGGGGGGAGAGCGGGGCCTGGGGGGGGGAGAGCGGGGCCTGGGGGGGGGGAGAGCGGGGCCTGGGGGGGGGAGAGCGGGGCCTGGGGGGGGGGAGAGCGGGGCCTGGGGGGGGAGAGCGGGGCCTGGGGGGGGGGCAGAGCGGGGCCTGGGGGGGGGGGGAGAGCGGGGCCTGGGGGGGGAGCGGGGCCTGGGGGAGGGGGCCTGGGGGGGGGGGCAGAGCGGGGCCTGGGGGGGAGAGAGGGGCCTGGGGGGCCTGGGGGGGAGGAGAGCGGGGCCTGGGGGGGAGAGGCGGGGCCTGGGGGGGAGCGGGGCCTGGGGGGGGCAGAGCGGGGCCTGGGGGGGAGAGCGGGGCCTGGGGGGGCAGAGCGGGGCCTGGGGGGAGAGAGAGCGGGGCCTGGGGGGGGAGAGAGCGGGGCCTGGGGGGAGAGAGAGCGGGGCCTGGGGGGGGGGGAGAGAGAGCGGGGCCTGGGGGGGGAGAGAGAGCGGGGCCTGGGGGGGGGGGAGAGCGGGGCCTGGGGGGGGGGAGAGAGAGCGGGGCCTGGGGGAGGGAGAGCGGGGCCTGGGGGGGGGAGAGCGGGGCCTGGGGGGGGAGAGCGGGGCCTGGGGGGGGAGAGCGGGGCCTGGGGGCGCGGGGGGGGGGGGGGCGCGGGGTGTGTATGTGTGACTGACTGCTGCTCGGGGACGCAGTCTGGTTGTGTTTCCTTTGTCGTCAAAGGACATTTAAGAGACATCTCGGCGATGGCAAACCCCTGGAGCCGATGAGCAGAGGCTGTTTTGGGGTTTTGCATATGGTGTTCCCTCTTTGAGATTCGGGTGTAGACTTGGGACGTCCTCCCGACGTGAAAGGCGCTATACAAATGTAATCTTGTTGTTGTTGTAGTCTTCTGATGGGCTGTGGTTCAGCTCTTTCCTTCCCCACACATCTCTCCAACCCTGACAGACCTCACCTTGTGATGGAGCCAAGGGTTTGGTTTGTGTTGCTAACCTGTCATCATTTCTTCCCCATCAATGTACCCCTTATTTCTTCCACATTACTCATTAATCTCTTCGGGGTTTGTGTACTTTTTGTTTAAAAAAAACCCCACGAAAGCCTCGTACAATGAGAACGAGTGAATTTGATTCTTCAGATGAGGAAACAGAAGAAGAGTACCAATTGCCAGTGCAAGTAACCTGGTAAGTGTGAGTTGCGAATCATTTACTGCAGATTTATTGTTGTGCTCAGTTTGCTGAATGTAACGTATTAAAATAAACCACTTGTCGTGTTGCCCAGGTTATTACTTCGAACATTTGCCCTTTTCATGTTATGGGTCAGTAGTGCAGATTTGGCGTGTGGCAGAATGGATTCATGCTTTGCTTCAACAAAGAGGGATGTAGCTGCACAATATTGGTGACTAATCAATGTCAACCTCTAACGCTCGGCGGGACCTAAAATTCACAGGACACTGAGATCCTGTCTGCTGCTTGTGCCAAAATCTGAATCTGGAGGGATATGATATTGGGACATAGAATCTTGTTATAGCTCCAATTATATTCTGAATGTACTTATCAATTGGTCAATTTCGAATTGGCCAGATTTGCTTGGACACAATTCATTGTGATGTGATTTTTTAAAAATATTTAATTTAAAAAGGTTGCCTTTATCAATGGTGAACAGCACCCAATTCCTTGGAATCTGTGCATTGCCAGGTGAGCCATTTTTGCTTCAATTTTCCATTGATTTAAGGAAATCTAATTTAAATTAATTCGCAGGGTTGATTTTGTTTTTCAATTTAATAATAATCCTTGCATTTGATATAGTGACTTATCACGTCACCACAATGTTTCAAAGTGCTTCATAGGATATACTGTAAAATGGTTTGACTATATTTTTGTGGGCAAAATGCAGTAGCCAGTTTGCACACAGATATGCTCCACAAACACAATTTCACTAATCAAATATTGTTTACAACCAAATGAAAATTGCCGTTTTTGATTAATCTTTTAAGAGATCATTTCAACCTTTAGAGTTTTGAATCAATCATGATTGAAAGAGCCCTTTCTCCCCCCCATCCCCACTAATTTTTAGCCAGGTCATCTACTGGAATGTTTGTTGAAGGAAGTCAGTATAACCTGCAGGCCTCCACAGAGGTGCTCTACAAACATGCATGTACAATAGTATTTCAAAATAAAGCTTCACAAACAAAGCTGAATGAAAGTGACATTCTGTTGGAGAAGCAATGCCCTTTTAATTGTCTGAAGTACCCAAGGGTTAAACTGGTGCCCACCAGATTTTAGATAAAACCCATGTTTATAAAACTGAAAACTGGATTAGTAATGATCAAATTAGAACACTGGGCTGACCATTTTCATTCATTTGGGATGGGGCTTAGCTAAGCTGTGGTTTTTTTTGCTTGTGTAAAATTCATACATTTGTACATCATCCTATTAATTTTAAAGGTGCCAATCACTGAAATACTATATAAAATGTGTTTGTACTTTAAAGTTTTAGGCTCACAACAAAAGTTAAAACCTCCTCTTTTATGAAATAAAACACAGGTTGTAAATTTAAGGATGTAAGAAGAAATCTTCAAAAAGACATAGGTAATGTAAAGTGTATTACATACTTCTGTGGGATTTTTTTATATCCTAAATATTTCTTCTATTCTTGGTTTATTTTTGTCCTTTCTTTCCCTTTCCCCTCTTGCTTTCTTCACATCTGGCATCATCCTTTACGTAGAAAGCATGTGACTGATCTGCTTGCAGGGTTATGTAACCAGATGCCAGATTGAGCAGTTTTTACTTTTGTCTCCTTGTGTTGGGAGGACTGAAATCCAAACTTCTCATTTGCTTGAGAATAGCACATTATTGTTGTTATTGTAGCAGGTTCAACCCTGTGCCTATTAGCTGCATAGAACACCACATTGGAATTCTGACAAATTACTTAATCTTTGCCTGTTTAAAGAGATATTTAAGGTCAGATAACATCTGCAATAGGTACTGTATATTCCTTGCGGTTCTTGGATGTGTTGTGTGTGTGTGTAGAGTTAGTAGACCATATAATTAATTGAGATATTTCTTTTTACATTTTAACAGAAGCACTCTGGAGACACAGCATACAGGATGTATTTGTGTTCTGTACCAAAGGAGAGATGGGAAAATACAGGGTTCCAGGCTTATTGGAATCCTATCAGCAACAGGGATTCACAGTGCATCACTATCCTTTTCCTGATGGAAATGTTCCTGATATTTCCAGCTGCTCCAAAATTTTGGAGGAGTTGAGAATTTGCTTGGAAAATGACAAAAAGACCCTTATCCAGTAAGCGGTTTAGTTACGTCAGAGATTTGTGCAAAACTTTGTATTTTTTTATGGCAAATGGAATGCAAGTGACAAGTACAATAGGTATCATATCTGCAATATGGTTACGTATTCTTAACACTAGACAGCATATCTGATCCAGATGCCAGATTCTTAATTTTCCCAATGAACCAAATAATTTACTGACTTCTCATTGAGGGTAAGATTTATAGGCAGTACCCAGCTACACAATTCCCAGTACAGTAAATCCCTGGCTTACCAGACTGGGTATCCATCCGGAATTCATACCTAGCTTGACTGGGCTCGAAAAGGAAACATCTTTATAAAATTTCCATGGACCTGCATGTAGACTCCCCTCCTTGCTGTGCTTGCTGGCCTTTAGTGGCCAGGGATACAATATGGAATTTGACTCAGTGTGAATCCTCTGAACAGAGGGTAGCTTATAAGTAGATAGCTTATTCGCAATGTTCTGTTCACGGCACCGAAAAAGCTGGTAAATGCCAGTTTGGGTGTTGTGATTATGCTTATCCCAAATTCCATGACTTAAATCTAAACCACATTATTGTAAAACAAATTTTGTAATTATTTTGCAGGTGTTATGGAGGCCTTGGGCGTTCTTGTCTAAGTAAGTGTAGAATTTTTACTATTCTATTTGTTTACTTTAGAGAACTTCTTCGTCGCCCACTGTCCCCTCCCCACAGCCAGAAAAATTGCAAGTGTGTTTTCAACTCTTGTTGAAGCTGAAGCTGCATCTGAAAAGGCTGTATTATCTACAACAGTATTTTTGTTTTCTTTAAACTTTTCCCTAATAGTTGCAGCCTGTCTTCTACTTCAGCTATCTGATGCTATGTTTCCTGAGCAAGCAATTGATCTCCTTCGAGAATTGAGAGGAGCTGGCGCCATACAAACTGTGAAGGTAAATATCACAATATTACCAATAAATAAACTACTTTTTCATGGTTTCCAAAAATGAAACTTTAAAACATTTAAAAATTATAATGTTAGTTTGGTGAAGGCATGACATTTTATTTGTAGCTTTATCTTGAGGAGATGGGGGAAAGGTCCCGTTGCTCTTGTTAATATTTTACCAGCCAACATGTACTTGTCTTTATTCTTTCTCCCAAAATGTATTACCTCACATTTGTCCACATTAAACCTATCTGGTCAGGAAATACTGTAAGAAAACATGTACACTTAGATGTAATTTTTCTACATTTTGTTTTCTGTTTCTTTGGCAGCAATACAATTACTTGCATGATTTTCGGGAAAATATGGCAAACTATCTGGCAACAAAAGAAGACTCTGCAACCCGATCAGTGTCGAGATAAAATGTTTTATAAAATCCAGTCTATAAATTTGGGTTTAATTGTTGTAAATTGATTAATTGTAAATATTGCAAATGTCTAAATTCTCTGGAATTACCAGCTTTGTGTACATACATTTGGCACTATTCAGGGTTTCTCAAAATATTGTTTCTAAGTGGAATGCTATCAAAAAATCAAAATAAATAAAACACCAAGTTCTGCAGTTTGTAAACCAATGCTCTGGGTAGCTCTTAATACAAAAGTTTTATTTATCAAAACCACCTTTAGAGAAAATCAAACCAGAAATCTATTTGTTACTTGTATAACTCTGAAGTACTGAAAAAGGGATTGGTTAAGATTTGTTATCAAATTTTAAATGTAATTGTGAATCAAGACTGATGCTTTAATCTTACCCTACCTTGTGATTTCTCTGAAACTTTATGTATATTTGGCAAAAAATAAAGTAAAATTACACAAATTGCCGAAGAATCTTATTTACGTTTACCTGTGGCTCAGGTTCGAGCTCTCGCCTCGCAAGCAAGAGACCTTGGTTTGATTTCTGGGCAGGGCAAAATGTTGGGCAAATTTCCTTACTCTACACGCCTCTGTTTACCTTCCAGTGAGTAGGAACCCGGTTGTTAGTCAATTGGTGTATCGCTTTTTCAGAGTAATAAATTATTCAAAAAAAAAAAAAAATTGGTCACTCACTCAATCCACGGCTGTTTGTGCTTCAGAGCTGGAACCCTATTCTGATAAAACTAGTCATTCACTTCATGACTGTTGTGGGACATTGTTGTGTGCTGTCTGACTAACTGGCATATAATATATATACACACACTTCATGAAGTGCTTTGAGACATTTGACTTCATAGGCATGATATCAAATGCAAGGAATATTTTACTGTTTAATACTATCAATAGAAACAGCATCTGTCACATGTTTGAGTGTATCCAGGTCTAGACAGATTATAACACAAATAGAGGTACTAATTTGTACTTAGAGGTACTAATTTGTGTGTAAAAAATCAATTAATTTTTAATGTCCACATTTAATCATAAGTTTTGATACAAGGAATCTGAGCATCAGAAATGCATAATGCCCATAGCTTTTTATCATATCTGGCTTTATTGCTGCTACACCAATAACCGATATTAATGCCTTATGGAGCTCAGCTAATCAATATGCATCAGTAGGATGAATGACTGCATTACAATGTGCAAGATAAGCTTATAAAAATGGGTTTATATTTTTCCCTGCTCTCCACCCAGAAGCGCAATGTCCATTTGCTTCTTCAGCTGATACCAGCTAACTCAGAATTGATCTATCATAAGAATGGATTGATTACCATGTCACCTTGAGAAGAAAACACTCTGGAAAGTAATCCCTTAGACATTATTCAAGACTTACTGACAAATTACCAAGATGTAATGACAGCTTTTGAAAATGAAAATGGTCATTCCATTTGTTTTAATTAAGTGGGCACATATTGAATAGGTAACTGAACTTGTGTTATCCATTTATTATACTAACACCACAAGTGCAGCATTGATAAAACAATGTTAAAGCTGTGTTCTCAGAAATATGACACAAGTTCCCATCTTACAATTCTTCACATTTCGGTGTTCCTGATTATAACAACGTTGTTAGGATTAAACACTCAGCTAAGGGAAAACAGTTTCCACAGGTAAGTAAGAAACCCATCAGCCAGTTTTGCATAATCACTTCACTTGCCTATCACCTCAGTCAGTGTGTAATCTAGGGAGAACATATTAAGAGCAAGTGGGTTGAAAGGTACAACAAAAAAGGAAATAAGTGAAGTTTTTGAAGATTGATCTATACGTAGCATTATACCTTATAATTTCAGTGCATCGGGATAATATATACTGGGTTATTTTATGTGTTTGTTGCATCATAAGACATTGTTACAAAGAGAAACATTTGAAACATTTTTAAGACTTGCAAATTAAGGTTATGCAACATCTAATGATGATATAAAGGCAACTTTCGTTGCTTTCAATCAATCTGGTTGTGCGATTATTGATCCTGAATGCAGGGAATATTTCAATAGAATAGCTTATGTGTCTAGTTGTCTTCTGGCAGCATAGTTTCTGGGCAAACATTTGCTGTGCAGACTGTATCGCGTGAAGGGAACACAGCTGTTCACAGTTGAATCATGTCCATCCATAGGCAGTCAATTGTCCAATACAATTTATTACATCTGTGCCTTTGCATCAAAATGCTATTATGTACACTAAATGAAATAAAGGCTAAGTGTGAGATGTGTCAGTAAGATGATCACTGCTGTGTAGTCTAAAATACGATGGTTAAGACATGAATTCAGGAATAAGTCACTTGCATTTTACCAAACAAGATATTCATTATTGATTTTGCCTGTAATTTTGTAAAACAGAAATATCTACACTGGAATATTTTACATAAAAATCAGTCAATTAGCACACATTTTACAGTACTATTGTTTCCTTTATTTTATAACTGAGCAAGTTTATTTGCAGGATTTTGTACAGAAAAAAAATAGCTGTAGTGCACCACAACCACATACAGGCGAACCTCAATATTACAAAGTTGAGATTGACAAGCTAGCTTTAACAGGGGGTTTGTGTTATTCAGGGTTGAACTCCCAGCTTGAAATGAAAGCTCAGCCATAACTACAAAAAGTATAACTTGACATTTAAAACAACCCAATTTGTTAAGGCTTTTCTGTATTTCAGCCTTTACAATATAAATATATAGGTCAAATCACAAGTATCGCTTTGGCACTTTCAAACTATGAACTAAAACAGTCTTCACGGCAAATTTGAAAGTTTCAAAAAAAAAGGTTCGCTTGAAAGACATGTCACTTTGTAGAAAATGCAAATTGAATTTCTTTTACACAAATTATTCCTTGTCTACGCAAAGTACGACTTTCATCGGTTACATTTGCCAAATCTCCTGCGTGTACAACATAAAGATGTTTAAAATAAATTCTCTTTCCTCAAAAACTATAAATTTACTAAAAACTTAATGTAAACAGGAATCCAATGAGGTTTCGGGTGTGCAATCTGCATTCATCCTCTGGACTATAATTGGTTGCTTGTTTCAGCTAGATATTTAAACACATTTAGGCCTAGTTACATAATTTTACACATATACCTGTATATTATTTGCAGTTAGCATCAAATCAAGTACAAACTCAATTTTATGTTTAAAACTACACTGTCATTGCCGATATTTATAAAGCACAAACATCTCAATTTTTCTGCGTTGTTTGTCCAGGCAATTTACCAAAATAATTTACAAGGCAGGATATACATCTTGAAGGCAAAATGTCCATGAAAAGAAGTGAGGAAATAATTTAATTTGTATGTATGTGGGTCATATCTGGTTTTCTACAAATCCTGCAGTTGAATCTAAACTCTTGAAAAACAACCATCATCTATTTTCCTTCAATGGAGTCATCAATTTCATTGGAGTCTGTAATCATCTTTTTAGGAGCTCACCAGGACATAGATCATGCTGCAACACAAAAAAAAGGAAAGTTAGCATTCAGATCCCTGAAATTAAATAGAAACAAAGACCCCTGCTATCACCTATGGATTTCAATAAGTACATATTAACAGATGCTATCAATACCTCAGAGGGTTGACACAGCTGATTCAAACAAAAAGGAAACGGAGAAGAGGGGGAAATATGTCACTTTTGAATACAACAAAATTACATTTATATAGCGACTTTCATGTCGGGAGGACATCCCAAGGCGCTGGACAGTCAGTTTTCCGGACACAAGCTGGGGGTCAGGATTGGGGAGGGCGGCGGGTGATCGAAAGCACGGTTGAAGAGGAGGGTCTTGAGATGGATCATGAAGGAGAATAAAGTACTATAATTGAGCTCAAACATAAACGGGGAACCTCGTGAAAAATATTGATCTAAATATCAAAGTGCTTCAGTGCATAATTAAACAAAGTAATGGCTTGTCATGACATGCATCATCTTGCTTAACAATTAACTAGAAGCTTGACGCCCAAGTTTAGGTGTAGTCCCACATAGAACATTATTATACCTGAACAGGACTCAAGTATCTAGTCTCAAATTATTATTATTCATTTTATACTAAGGTAGAATTGTAATGGAACTTATACATAGGACAAAGTGAAACATAATTCATTTTGCTGTTAACTTACCCATATAGGTAGTAGAAAAATGACAGTAGGTAGAATGCTAGCTTACACCATCCTTCCTTCTGACAGTACGCTAATATATCAGCATTCATAATAGTGGTGGGATCATATAGACCTGGGACACTCATTATTGGCCTAGTCATGTACCTGAGAATAAAAAAAAAGTATGTCTTGCATTAAACCACAACAGTGAAACTTATTCCATATTTGGTTAACCTTTCATAGATGCCGTAGTTTGACTGCTTTTCTCGTTAAATACAACAATCCCAGCAATTAATAAATTCTAAAACATCCTTCAGAAAATGGGTGTAATAGTCTATGATTGTACATAGTCTTTGGACGAAATTGGTTTGATAGTCAAACAGGTTTTTCTTGTTCTATGTTTATGTACATTCTTATGTTTGAGCAAAAATATAACTCCAGAGGCAGAAAACTCCAAAAATGAAGATAAACAGCAAGAGAACTGATACACATTTGTTTTTAAAACATTCAACCGAATCATTAAATTACCTACAAGGTAAGAGTAATCCATTAAGACAGAAAATTACAAACAGTAGATAATTACCTCCAGATATGATAGCTCAACAGTGGCATGTTGAGACCCAGTGTTAGCCATTCTGTTGCACAGAGGAACATGACACAGAAGAAGGCATGGATGAGATACTCGGGAAGAACAAGCTGCAAGAACCAAATCAGAATTAGTTTGTCCTCATGTGCCTGATTTCAATGGACCAAGCCGAGCTAGCAGACCAACATTTAAGCAATATTCTATACATCTGTAACAGATTTATTTCTGATAAAGGGGAAATATTTAAAAAATTCTATATCTTGAATCTGCGACAAAACATTTCAAAACCCTGTTCTTCTAGATTCTCAATGGCTCCATTGGTAATGCCACAGATCAATGCAAAACTCAGCCATGCAAACCAGGAAGATCACTGATTTAAACCTTGGTTTTAGCAGATATCATCAGCAATGTCTGGAAAAAGCATACTACAACAGGCCTCAAAACCTGGCCTAGAGAGGGAAAATCAACACTCTGAATTATGAGTTAGTATTTTTTTTAAAAAAGGGGAGGTATTGCTTTTACCTCTACAAATTAAAAATCTCCAGTTACTAACTGAAACGATTCCAAGTTAATGACTCTGGACATGCTCAACCAAATGTATACAGATGCACAACAAAACCTTATGTAAGTTGATGGGCTGTATGTTATTCTGTCCATAACCATTCTGTCACTTCTACAGACATGGCAGTAGACTATTTTTCATACTTCACTACAACATAGCCTATGAGACAAACATGACCAGGAACCCAAAATAATGATCATGTTATAATGGGGTTGTTGCCCTGAACCTATTGCACTTATTTCACAAAAAACCCTTCATGTCAAAAACATATCTACTTTCATCTTTAACTGCTAGTATTATTCCACTTGTATTCGTTTCCTAAGGAAATTGCTCAACAAAATCGCCACTGTCTTTGTAAAGTAGCTAAATCTAAGCTAGCTATTCTTTGGAGATTGAGACCATAACCTATTATTGACATAAGAGCCCAGCTGATCTGCACAACTTTCATACTGGTGTGCACAAATATGGGGATCAAAATCAAATGATGCACCTGTTGTGCATGAAAGAGTAAAGCTAAAACCTTTGAAAATAAGCTACAAGAGACATTTATTTACATGTACGAACAAAATACAAAATACTGCAACTTATCCCAGCGACTCCTGTTTTTGTTATTTATTTACATGTTCTGTCCAAGTGGTACTTCTGATTAGAGGCAGGCATTGCAGAAAAATATGAGCATCACAAGTGGAATTAAAATGTAATTAAAATTATGCGGTAATGATTAAACACTCCTAGAAATACTGGTTCAGAGCAAAGCAAAATATGTAGCACGTAAAACATGCAGGAATATGAAAACTGGTGATCCTGTTGACAATTTCTAAAAAAGTTAAAAAAGTTACCTACCTTCTTCAGGTAGATATAATTGGGTTATGCTCCATGTAGCTGAACCTTAATAATAATAATCTTTGCATTTGATATAGCGCTTTTCACTTCTTCTAGACGTCTCAAAGCGCTTCACAGAATATATTGTAAAGTGAATTGACTGTATATTTGTGGGATGTCATTGAATTGACCTGGTTGTGTCTATGATGCAACATATCAATTGTTAAACTTTTGAGCCTCAATTAGCTGAAACATTTAACACGTGACACGTCAGTTTTTACCTCTGTGGGGATATTTTCCATTGCAAGGATTCTATCTCTTTAATGGTCAGTGTAAATGTTTTGTTTTGGAAAAGGTACAGAATTAAACATGATGGTGAGAAATAGTTAAAATAAGCTGTTAATAAGCAAGCAAACAAGAAAGAGAAAAAATGAGAAGGAAGCAACCACATAAACAGAAACATTTAAATGTGATGTATCCCTGCTGCCAAATTACCCAACACTCAATATGTGCTCTGACATATGAAGAATAGACACTTAAATTTACCGGCACTACGGAACCTCGAAATATCAGAGGCAAGAAAAGAAAATTAAGGGGAAAGAAACATCAACATACACTCGAGTTCATATTTAGCTACCTATTTTTAAAGCATTTAGGCTTATGGAGGATACAGATTTTTAGTTGAAAAGTGCTTTAATTTTCCCCAAACTTTAACAAGAGCACAACGTAAATAATGGCCAGTTTTCTAGAAGCAGTCATCTAGTATTCTGAAACTTTCTCAATGATTAAGAGGCTCCCTGTCTCAGCAGGGAGCTCAAATAATTTGTAACACCAGCATTTCAATTAATGTGTAGTTACACAATATACTTTCATATCGATGGCCCTTCCAGCTCCTGGAAGCTAACACCCAAAAGTACATATTTGTTTTGGATTTTCAATACTGATGCTAAAATGTTTTAAAAAACAAACCTTAACTATTACCACAAATATGGTCCAGACAACAGAGCTTCAGAACTCCTGGATATTCGAACCTGGGTTGAGTGTTATATTAAAAACCTATTAATAACTTCAACAAGCCTATCTCCTTTTGATAAATTTGCCCCATTTTCCTGCTTTCTCACCTTATCCCTTCTCTCTTCATAAACACATCTAAATTGCTCTTGGACCCATTTATATTACCCACTTCAATAACCTTCCTTGGTAACATGTCTATTAAAAGTTCATCGTGACTTCTTATCCTCATGTATACTGGATTACAGCTCCATCATTTACTAAATCTCGAGTAGTCAAATCTTGAGCACAAAAGATTATCCCTGAGCTCTGAACAACAAGCCTCGGTTTCTGTCAAATCCATCCTATTTATATTGTGAGGTGAATTGACTGCAACAAGCCAACTAAAACTATTTAAATAAATTTCTAACAATTGTGTATGGGTTCCAAGAAGGCATTTGAGATACCCTCCCAACGTGAAAAGAGCTGTATAAGTATTGTGTTGTTGTATAGTTCCTCTAAACATAATATTGTTTCATTGTCCAGGCTCAAGACAAGAAGTACTTATTTTCAATAAAAAATGCTGTACTGTATGCACAATGGGTTATGTTTGATCATGCTAATTTGGGTCATTTATAACAGTCCTTCAGTTATACTTAATCCTCGCCTTTCACTTCGTCTATCTGGAATTATCTGTAACTGATTTGCTTTCCATAAATTAAAATCTCCAATTGCAATAGTATAAGTTATTTGCTATATATAATTTAAAATTGTACTTACAGTACCACATTATTCGGTCACAGTGTCAACCTGAGAAAGTATTTATACAATTTATATTTTTACTATAGGAATTGAATCCGATTAGGATAATAGTTTTGTGCAATTAAGCAAGTTATGAATCTACACCTGTAGATTATTGCTTGTGGCCTGAAAGACGTTCACACATGACCCCAACAAAAATGTTTGTTTTCAAAAAAAGTGAAAGGCATTTCAACTAGAAATTAGTACAAACCTTTAAAGCCATTTTGACTCTTTTAATCTTTTTGACCTTTTCAACTGTCTTTGTGCCGAAAAAATGACAAAAGCAGATCGAAAGAATGTTAGTAGGACAGCTGACAAGATCATTGTAGATTAACAACAGTCAGAATATAAAGGTGCAGCAAGCGTGAATCAGCAGGTTCAGAAAGGAAATCAGTTCCTTGATAAGAGAAAATTAAACAGGTAGACAAGGAGACATAACACAGATAAACTGTATAAATACTGTTTTCAAAACCAGAAGACCACATCAACTTACAGGATTGAGTGTATTACATTGGTCTATAGGATTCTTGTAGTCGGTCTTCAGTTCATCAAATGCTATGATCTGGAATGGGAAAAATATGGATACCGTGTCACGGAGGCTATGCTTAAAATGAATTGAGCTAACTTCACAACTTTGTGTTGAAACTAGAAGATCCGATAGAAAATTAACGTGATGATTTAATTTTTTTAAGAAAATATTTTTAAAAACCCTCTGAACTATCACAATTCAGGAAAAAAAACAATGCATCCCAGTCAGAGCCGACCGCATAAGAAACAGTTCCATTCAATAGAGTTCACGTTTAACCGGACTACCTCCAAACAAACAGGATGTTGAGATCAACTTCCATCCTCCTGACTGTAGTAAGAATTGATCGTTTATATGATAAATTGATTGACTGTGTGTGGTTTAGGAACAATAACCCGAACGCTTGAGATTTAAAATTACTTGCGAGGATGAGGCAGTTTTAAAGGCAAGATATAGATTATATATAACCACAATCCTTCCATTTGATACAGCGTCTTGTCACGTCTTCGAGACGCCTTAAAGCGCTTGACAGAATACACAGCAAAGCCCAGTGACTGTGTGTGTTTTGTGGGCGAAACTGCACTGCTGCAGAGAACTCATCATCAATGCATATATCGTATTGTATATTATATATATATATATATATATATATATATATATATATAAACTGCTAGTAAAGGCGATGGGACTTTTGCAGTTGGGCCTGTCAGCCCCAGGCCGGAGAAAGCAAAACCGAGCAGCAACTGAAACGGCCGCCAGGAGCGGCGTCACCTCCCGAGACCGGATTCGCGGGTTGTCCCTTCCAGCGGCGCGGGAGAGGGAGGACGAAGGCGCAAATGACAAAACTGCGAAAAAAAAGGAAGGCCCCGATACTCACGTGCCAAATGGCAAAGAATATCAGGGCGGCGGTGAGCAGCAGCGCGAGCATATAACAAAAGGCAGCGAACGTAAACGCCATCTTGGATCGGGGCGGCACTGGGGAGGGAGGGAGAGGGGGGGGGGGGGGAGCGGCGGCGCGCGCATCCCACCCGGGTCGTGGCGTGCGTGGCGTGCGTGGCCTACGTCATCGCGCAGCTATAGCAACCGTTGTTAAGGGACGGTCTCGGGACTGGCAGTCCCTCTTCTCTTCTCTCTCTCTCTCTCCTCCCCCCTCACCGGCGCCAAACACGAATCCTGCAGTCACTTCGAGGTATTTTTTTTCTTTAGCTTTAGCAATTGCTTGAGGTTAGGGTAATGATGTTCAAGGAGTCCTGTAGTTCGGCGAAAGACCTGGGTTCACTTCCAGGCAGAGGCCGAAACCTTGGGCAAGTTTCCTTACTCCACACACAGCCTAATAATAATCCCTCCGAGAAAACACCAAACAATAATAAATCGGTCATTTTCAATCCACCACTGTTTGTGGGGCACCGCTGTGCGCAATTGGCTGCCGCGTTCGCCCACAAATATATACGGTCAATTCACTTTACAGTATATTCCGTGAAGCGCTTTGAGACGTCCTCCCGACGTGCAAAGCGCTATGTCAAATGCAAGGATTATCATTATTAATATTAAGGGAAGAATGGGGGTGCGGGAGGGGGGGAGGAAGGTATAATAAACGTCGAAGATAACTTTTTTCCTGAGGAGGGAAAGACACTGTTTATTTTTAGACCCTGTATTTTCTATATATTTTTTTAAAAATAGGCCTTTTTCTAGGCTTTTCGTACTATTGCTTTGGACTGCGCTAATCAGGTTTAATTGTTTGCTGTGTATATAAATATATAATGAGAAGATGTCAAGTGTTTTTTCTTGGTTGCACGGGGGCTGCCTGTCACGTGGCACATCTGCAGAGTACAGCTGCACTGCTGCAAATGCCCCTCATCGTTGAGCAGCAACATTATTTAACTGTGCAGACCTGCAGCGATGTGGGAACATTGGTTCACTACCGTTTTCCTTCGATCTTGCCAATAGGTTTGTAAATGTCTTAAATATCTCTGTTATCAGTTAGGTCGATGAGATTACTTTTTCTATCTCCCCACCGCCACTCCCACCCCTTGCTTTGTTTATTTTCACGCGTAACCTTGGCAAAACCAGAAGCGGTAGTCGTAACAAGGTCTTGTTCGTTTGACCTTGGTGATTGCTGAAATACAAGACTCGAAGAAGTTATATTGAGATGCTAATGGTCAAGTCACGTTTCCCGGAGCTGATTGACGAGACGATTCCAGTCATTGTCGTATTATTAAAGCCAAACTGCAATGTTGATCAGACTGGTGAGCTGCATGGATTCAAAGATGTGGTTTTAGGAGAGTAAACAGAACCATGCATTTTGGGGAAAGTTGAAAAGTAGAGGGAAAAAAGCATATAGAGACTGTAAGTTATTCTAAAGCATTTTAATGGGACATTTGTGAAACTATAATTCTAGTCACTATGTGGTGAAATTCTGTTAATTGAATACTCACTTTGTACAATAAATACGATACTAAAACCTTCAGGAGAGATGAGAAAATTGTGCAGAGGAAGCAAACTATTTCTCGACTTCATTGCTTGGCAAATGGCCTCTGCAACTCTTGAACTGCTAACCCCATATCGACCCATCATCTCAGCCTGCTACACGTGCCCCACCCACCCCACCATTGGTGGTCAGGTATACCACCTCTCTGCCCCCAACCCCTGGAACTCTATCACACATTTCTTTCACCATACTCCCAACCTAGCCTCCTTCAAGGCACATCTCAAGACCCTCCTCTTCGACTTGCACCTTTAGTCACCCTCCTACCCTCCCTGCCCTCCACTTCTGATTCCAACATCCCTGAATGGGGCCAAATCCCTGATGGTCCAGGCTTTGGGACATCCTCCCAACATGAAAGGCACTATACAAATGTAATTTGTTATTGTTGTTGAATTCGCTATTGTAGACAAGCGTATCATAGGTCATTTCATCCTGATTTAGTCTCGAAAAAAACTACACTTCAGATCAGTTAGGGCATCACCCTGTGGCAATGATTTATGTTTCTTCTAAGACCTACTGTTATTCTAGTCCTATTAAATATTCCAGACATGATACACATTGGTTTCTGAATAGCTGGTAATTATTTTAGGCAGTAAACTGATATGTTGTTAATTCACCTCAGCTGTAAATCTTACTTTTTTTTAAAAGCTTTCCAATGTAAAAATAATGCATTATTTTATTGTAAAATGTCATACTGAAATGGCACACAAAAACAGTAGTTATAAAATTAAATATTTTCTTTAACCAAAAATATGTGCCAATTTAGAGCAAATCATGCACTAGACATACGTTATCAAAGCAGAAATAAGACACAGGAAGATGTGGATCTTGGAACCATGCAATTTTGACACAGTGAGGTAGAAGCTGACATTTGTGCAGGCAACATGTTTATTATGAATATTTATAGGAGTAAAAGCCTTAGAAAAACACTGCTTCCATTATTCGGAGCATAGTTAAGTCTTGCAACATGCAACATACCAAAATGTTAGAATACAAAGTTTCAGTTCAAAAAATGTGCTAGAATTCTCACTTGGAGAAATGCATAGTAGGCTACGTGGTGTTAAACTCCATCAGTTCAGCACAAATTTGCACATTTTTCTTAATTTCTACCATTGGTGGAATGGTCAGTTAACAAAGCATTGTGTAAATATTTTTGCAAGCATTTAGATTTCATACACATTTTCCATGTTGAACATTTCAAATTCCAAAAGTTTAGCTATCTAAAACAACAGTATTGTCAGTTTCTAACTCAAGTTCTAGATTTAATAGAAGTCATCACAATCCAATGCTTATCTTATTGCCATGCTCCAAATACAAGCTTGTGATAATTTTTCAAATATCAAAGGCAAATTGATTAATTGCATTGTAGTTTCCCAATGCCTTTCCAAATATTCTCTACATTTTTAATACCAGTATCTATAAAATAATCAAATTTAGACTTAAATAACTCTCAGAACTAATAGGGATGAAGAATCACAAGATGGATCATTTTATTTCATTGGTGGACTGGGTTTAATTGAAATGCTTAGTGATGCTTTTACCCAGGAGCTGCAATTTGCAAAATGCAAAACAATGTGGGTTCAGCTAAATCGTCACAGTAACCTGTTCTGTTAAGAATGGTGCTAAGACCAGGGGAAGTTGAGAAAAGGATGGGGGGTTCAACACCAGACTATTCTTTCATTGCCAGCCTAAAACCATTAATGGAACTGATGGTCAAGTTTATAAATTACTTTTTCATGCTCAAGTATCAATGTGAGAAAGGTAGTTAAGTAACTGCCAATTTGAAGACATTGAACAGGAATGAAATTTAGGCTTGATACAGATATAATCTATGTAATTCCTGCATGAAAGATAGAATGTGCCCTTTTATGGTTCCTGCCTCATTCACCAATCTAATAATTCATTAAAGTTGGTTGATGGAATGGTTTAAAATATTTAGAATTAGTCCTTTGTTTTGGTAGCAAGTTTGCACTTCCAAGACTTCCCCAGCATTGATCCCTCTTTAAATTAGAGCTAAAATTAAAAAAAACTCTGAACAAACCTTTAGTAATGCACATTAAAAAAAAAACTCTCAACAATTTGAGCTCATTTGGTCATGGTAAACAACGCTTGGAATATATTCTTCCATTTTACAAGTAGAAACGTCAACACCTTGGCAATCATTTATAGCATCAGACAGGATAAATGAAGAAGTCCTTTTTAGATAAAACTGTAATTCTGGAATTAACACTGGTGCGAAATTTACTCTTGAGCTCTGAGCAGATTTGCCAAACTGTGGACCAATTTTATACCTGCGACTCATCAGGAGGCTAAGCAATTTTAACCATTGAGAACCATTTGAGAGAGAGAGGGAGAGAGTCAAAGCGGGGGGGAGTGGGGAGAAAAATAATTAAGTTTCACAGGAACAGGTGGCAGAGGTGAACAGGGAATAGTCTAATCCAGCATCCAGCATGCTATCCAGTTCCTAGTCTTTCCCAATTGTGGGAAGAAATGTTGGAGAGGTAAAGGGTTAAAAGGTTTGAAGAATTAATTTTCTTTCAAAACAGCAGCCAACATTTTCTATTTTGCAATCATTTCATTGCAGGTGAATGCATTACAGATCAACACAAACTACAGAAAAAGCATGAAAAGTAAACAATGCAAATTCAAGCTCGTTAGTTTATAAAAAAAGGCAGACAGGTACAACAATTGCCTTTGTCTAACGAAAAAATGAAAGCTTTTCATTCAGCCACTCTTCACACAAGTCTTCTGTATTTCTAATTTCAAATACCTGAAAGAAAAATAGTACAATATTAAAAACCATTTGAAAAATATTGCTATGGGCCTCAATTACCAATTTAATCTCAATTCTTATATGATGCCCATTTTGATTTTGGAAAGAAGTTCAATCACACAGGATCTTAGCATAAGTTCTTACCTTGGTAAACTTAGCCTCATTCACCAGTTTTTTTTGGCTACCGGCATACATCATATTTATTCTTGGCTTGCAATCTGAAAATATGAAGCACAAGCACTATTATACATCTAATTAGGTGGCTGTAGGACTAGTCAGCTCTAAATATTCCTTCGCTGCCAATTCCAGTCCCAAATATTCGTAATCTTTCAGACAAGAATAATCAGAATCAAACTTGAGTCATCTGCTACTCCTAAATAAAACCAAAAATGGGTAAGGGAAGAAATAATGCTGTAAGAAATTTACTCCTACTTAAAGTAGAGGCTGCCAGATGCTTCCATGTGCTTCAGATCAGCATCTCATTCAGTCCTTACTAGACAGCCGTACATTTTAAATGTAGGGCACTGGAAAAGAGCATCAATCCTTGCTGTTGTTTCCCTTCCTTAGCCCAGAAGAGGCTTATTGTAGCACTCCAGATGCCTCCCTGACTGAGATCAGCTCTACAATTGCAACAATGACCAAATCGTATATCTGCTAACTAAACACATACTAAGATTACACATATCCAAAGTAATGGTCTTGCTCATTTCCATGGCACAGTGGCATCTTTTTAGAGTAAGCAATGAGGGAAATCAATCCCTGAACTCTTAATTTTATTTGCTTATCAGAAAATAAATGTACTCGTGAATAGAATGGAATTGATTTAACAATTAATACAATTCACTAAATATATCCTAAGGAGACAAACATTTGATCGTTTCTGCAGAATTGGATACTTCCTAGACCACTCTTGCAGAATAGGCCAAGAGATCCTATGTCCCAGTGACACATTTACCCTTCCACATATGATTTGATTGCAAGATGGTCAATCATCAGCAGTAACCTGAGGCACTGTAGATTTACCAGCTTGGTTATAGTTCACTATAAAAGGTGCTCACTTCTCCATTTGGAGATATCTTGCTCATCTCTGTCCTCCAGGAGGATAGTCCCAAATTGATCAGATGGCTTATAAGTACAAGTTTAAGCATTTTACTTTTCACATATAAACTTTAATAGATAACAGAGCATTTGAGTGGTTTGCAAATTACAATCTGAACACTTACCAGCGGGATTGGAATGGATAAAGCATAATGGATAAGAGGTTCTTCCATCACTGTGTGCATAGCTGTAGCTGTAAGCTACAAATGTGTTTACAGTTAAGAAAAATGTTAAATGATTCCATGCACCTCAGTTTAGGAAATTATGACTCAAGCAAGTTTATTCCATGATTAATTAAGACAATATAAATTGGTCCTGATCTGTGCTCAATTAGCTGATCTCAACCTGCATACTTCAAACGATCTTAGTGCCCAGAGATAAGAAAGGAAATGACCCATGAACCATTTGTTACTTAAATCTTTCTTGGATTTTCACATGTGTTAATGTCAGGTCAGAACAGTATTCCTTTGATTAGAAGATTGGATATAGATATCCTTGGTGCTACAGTGTGTTTTTCTTAACCTTAATAAGGATGAAAAAACAGCAATTTACACTGAATATTTAATCTTGGTACCAGCGGAAGTGTCACAGCAACTCAAGCCTCCTAAATAATTGACAATGTGTATTTAAATATTTGCATTTAATCAGATGTTTGCTTGATCAGTCAGTTAATCAGGTTAATTATTATTAATATAATTAATTTTTTAAAAATCAGTTAATTAAGGGCAAAACGTTGGGCAAGTTACTCCGCATGCTTCTGTTTACCTAGCAGTAAGTAGGAACATGGTTGTAAATCAATTTGCAAATTGCTTTTCCGAGGATAATAATCCCATCAAAATAAATTTCAAAAATAAAATAATAATAATCTGGTTACTCAATCCACGACTGTTTGTAGGAATCTGCTGCCGAGTTGCACCCACAAAATATACAATCAATAATCAATTCACTTTACAGTATATTCTGTGAAGCGCTTTGTGATGTCTCGAAGACGTGATAAGGCTTTGTTTCAAGTGCAAGGATTAGTATTATTATTAAGTGCTAGATTCCCTATCATATCACAGCCAACTACCTTTCATTCAATATTTTATATCCAAATTACATATTCACATAAAATATGTTCGCAATTAGGTTATTTTCTGGGCAAACAATTTTATTGTAAAGAGAAACATGTTTTTTTTCCCCAGCAAGAAAGGATATCTTGGTGCTCTTTCAGGTAATTCATTCCTTAGTTCATCTGGAGAAATATTCTAAATTGGGAAAAGGCACAGAGTACTGTAGATTATAGACAATATCTAATAACCATGAAGACAGCAGTATATTTCCGATAATGTTACACTGTATGCACAATACATTTCCTATTCTCTTAAACACAATATACAGAGATTCTTGTTTCTTTAAATTGAGAGGATTCACAAGTAAACCACATCTTTCATTAATGAAAAGATGACTCATTTTGAAAGAGCATTAAAGCCAAGGAAGTGTACTTTATAGGTTCAAAAATATCACAGGCATATAGTTAGGAGGTTAGACTCAAAACAATTCGGACTGTTGTGCACTTGAACAAAGTTAGGAGATGATTAAAAAGAAGTCTTTAACATAAAAAAGGTTTTGTAATGACATATTTATTTTAACTACTGGTTGGTAATTTAGTAACTAAATGGTATAAAATACAAGATCAGGATTGCCACTGGAAGAATTAAGCGTAAGGAGAATTTCTTTCCACATACAGGGTGATTAGACATAGAATATTTTGGAACAAGCAAAACAAGATTGCGAACGTATCACTTAAAAGGGAATTGCATAGCACTTGAACAATATAAAAAGGGCATGAGGAGAGGGAAATAGTAATTAGCTTAAATGGAGAAGCCGACACCAATATATGTTTGTTGGGTGGAATGGCCTCTTGTGCTACAATTTCTGTGTCAAATTAGGATTAGGATTTCTTCTTCCAAACAACTAACAAAAAGGCAAGCTGTGAAACACTCCCGAAGAGGAAAGTCAAATTCTCCAAAATCTTCTATTCTTGGTGTAAAAACAAAAGTATACTTACCTCATGTTCTTCATCCAGAACCACCAACTGTCGCTTTTCATCTATTTTCACTGGGGAGGAAAGTCAGATAAATTACAAGTTCTTTTTCAGAAAATAGTTTTGCCCACAAAATATACAGTCACTTTGCTTTACGATATATTCTGTGAAGCGCTTTGAGACGTCTCGAAGACATAAGGCGCTATATCAAATTCAAGGTTTATATTACTCATGCTTTCTCAGGAAACATATACATCTATTTACATAGTTTGGGAATGTCAAAGAAGCACTCCAACTGCAAAAAAATAAATTTAACCACCATTATTCATTTGCTGGCAGCCCTTTAGGTACAAACAAACCTCCTTTGGCAAAGACGACATACCAGTTTTATTTACACAATTGTAAGAACATAATAATCTAACCGAGTATTTAAAATAATTTCAGGATTAGTTGTGTTCAGTCATTTTATTTTTCACATCTTCACCTGAAGCTGTTACTCGAGCAACTTTACAGCCACAAAACAAGATCAAATCGTTAGCATCTGAATCAATTATCAGCCACGCAAATTGGTACCATTGTCACCATTCCTGGTATTTTCAAAGGATTAAAACAACAACTGACATGAATCGAATGAACACAGTTCAAAACAAAGGTTTCGTTTCTTGTTTGATTTTAAATCAGACACTGATGATGTAAATATTTAAGCAATCGTTTTTAAAAAAAAACAGTGCAACTTTTTTTTAAAAAAAAGGTTTCTCCAGTTACTGTCTCGATGGATATATTCACTGTATTGGATTTTGGAAACAGGTAAATGAAATACAGAATAAGCGTTTTTCTGGGAAAGATGACAAGGGGTTACTCTACTGTAACATAGACCAGATTCAGATACTGAACCACTTTTTAATCAAACAATTTGTGTGTGTGTGTGTGTGGGGGGCAAAAAAAAAAGGAAGAACCAGGGAAAAGACTAACAAAAAGAAGTAATTTTACTCACTTATAATTGCAGCATTGGTGGTTTCTTTGCGGAATCGAAATTTGTTCAGCTTTTGCAGCAGCTCCTCGTCAATATCGCACACTGCCAAAGTATCAGCCTGAGAGAGAGAGAGAGAGAGGAGAGAGAGGAGAGAGAGAAGGTGGGAAAGAAGGGATGAACACGTAAGTTAAACGATTGCATCGGAAGAACAGAACCGAACCAGTGAAACTCGCGAGAAATAATCGCCCGCAGCGATTTTCCGTCGATTTGCCTCCTCTCCCCCTCCTCGGCGAGTGCGGACAAACACTGCTTTTAAAGGTTTAAAAAACACACACACACACATTGAACACCAGGTGTGTGGAAGGGTTTTTTTTTGGGCATAACATATATATATATATAAAAATTAAAAACGTGCGATGGTGTAGCGTTCACACGGACGTACTCTGCACCACACACTTACACACACTCACTCACTCACACTCAGGTCAAAGAGCTCACTCGCTATACGTAAAAGTCACCCCACACCACACACACACACACACACACACACACAAAACCCTCACCATTTTCCCCGACTACTGAAGTGAGTCCGTTCCTCTGCGATTCCACTCCCTCTCCGGTGCCCGTGACTCGGGAACCAGCCAATCAGCACCGGAACCCGGCACTCCCTGCCCTCGGTTACATCACTGGGAAGGACCGGGGAGGGACTGACTAGGAGGGGGAGAGAGAGGGAGGGAGGGAGAGAGAGAGGGAGGGAGGGGAGCACACAGTGGGGAGTCTGTGTGTGTGTGTGTATGTGTGAGAGAGAGAGAGAGAGAGAGCCACGACACACACAAAAGGTTTCTGTCAGTCAGGGCTTAGATCACTTCTAAATTCAGTCATGTCAAACCCATGCTGTGTCTGTCTGTCTGTCTGACTGTCATGGGAACTACATGTAAGTGTTTGGGGAATTCGCCTTTCCCCTCTGCTCCACCATGGCTCCGCCTTGCATTTAGTTACTCAGCTCCCCCCCCCTTATTATTATGTAATAATAATACAATAATAATAATCCTTGCATTTGATGCAGCGCTTTTCACGTCTTCCGGACGTCCCAAAGCGCTTCACGGAATAGACTGCAAAGTGAATTGACTGCATATTTTGTGGGTGAACGCGGCAGCCAATTGCGCACAGCAGTGTCCCACAAACAGTCGTAGATCGAAAATGACCAATTTTTTGTGTTCCTCCAACTCTCCCCCCCCCCCCCACTCCTCCTTTTACCCATTTAAAAACCGTCATAAAGTCCTGTTTTTTTCACGACTACGCCTACAGTCACTGTTGTTCATTTCTTAGTTGCCGTCCACTGCTTGGTAAATTGTTTGGAGAAGTTATTTTAAACTGGGGAGGTGCTACAGAACTGCACGAATGGCTGTAAAGCCACAAAAGAAAACAACACTGCGTTATTGATGGAAATGTTACCAGCTTAAAAAAATTAAATGGGCGCTGCCTTCAAGATGCTTTAAATCTTTTCTCATCCCTTCACACATCATGCAACACAATCGTTCATGTCAAAACACATCATTACATATTATAATATATAATAGATGTTAAAAGCACTATATCAAATGCAAGGATTATTATTATTACAATAATCTGAATAATGTTCTTGCCAGTGTCCCAAGAAAACATGGTTTGATGCATAGTGTGATTTTTCTACTGAATTATGGGAACCCATGAATATTCTAGAATATTGATTGATGTACTTCGAGGCTAGGGGTGTATTTTGCAGAACTTTCCGCCTGGAGTGAAATACTTTTTTTTAGATCTAGTCCATTGGAAATGGAACATGTTTCAACCTGCGCTATTTCAAAAGAAGTGAACACATTCTTCAAAATTCTCCAGTTGAATACCAGACAGACATGAATAGGCTGCGGTACTTGTTGTGATGGCATTTGTTCATTTTTTAATTTCATTCTCTGCAGACCTTGAGTGGATAGCAAGATGTTTGCATTTCTGCCCCCACCCCTATCCAGGCCAGTAAAGATTTTGTTGAATTTATTTTGAAACCTTCAAATAAGTAATAAGTAATTGGGACGTCCTCCCGACATGAAAGGCGCTATACAAATATAATCTTGTTGTTGTTGTACATAGGCTCAGACAAATATACAATTTACTGTATCAAATTGTGAATAGCAGATTCCTACATGGATGTGTACCTTCTGGATCTATCTTCTGGAGTATCTGTATACATTGGGTGAGGACAAGGATAGAGTTTCAGTGATGCTTTCCAACATACAAATAAACAGCTGACTGAATGCAAAAATTTAAATTGGCCATTCAGGTGAGATAATAAAGAATTGGTATGGAACTGAGGATGAATCAGCGTTTTCAATGATTAAAGAGCAAAGCAAGGGTATAGGGCCCATTAGTATCCTGTGAACCTTGTCCAAATAGGTTACTTCTCTCCTGAGGTGATTAATTACCACCTTGAAAATTCCTTGAAATGAAGAAAAACTGCAGACGTTCTGGTTTTAACAATTTATTGGTACTTTTCTCTCTTTATGTGTGGAAGTTTCTGTCAAAGAATATATTACAGAACAATTTTAAATTAAAATTAACACAAATAAATCCTGAGAAAGCAGCTTACGATACCCCTTGAGACATTAAATGAGAGAAAAAAATAGGTGAGGCTCCAGTTAATATTTTTAGCACTTCAGCAAATACATGAGCTGTATCTCAGGTCACGACTGAGCAGTCCCTGACCCCAGTGACTGGACTGTCCTTCAAGGCCATTCTGGTTGGGCTGTCATTCGCAGTCCTCTGGAGTACTGTGGACCACCTGGTTCAGGAAGTAGACTACCAAGACACCACCAAGGTTTGGGGTCTATTGTGTTGGCGTGGATATGCAGAATGTTGGGGTTGGAGTGGATATATAGTGGGGTGGGTGTGCAGTGTATTAGGTTTGGTTGGATGTGCAGTGTGTTGGGGTGGGTGTGCAGTGTGTTGGGGTTGGGATGAATGTGCAGTGTGTTGGGGTGGGTGTGCAGTGTGTTGGGGTTGGGATGAATGTGCAGTGTGTTGGGGTGGGTGTGCAGTGTGTTGGGGTTGGGATGGATGTGCAGTGTGTTGGGGTGGGTGTGCAGTGTGTTGGGGTTGGGATGGATGTGCAGTGTGTTGGGGTGGGTGTGCAGTGTGTTGGGGTTGGGATGGATGTGCAGTGGGTTGGGGTGGGTGTCTAGTGTGTTGGGGTGGACGTGCAGGGGGTTGGGGTGGGTGTGCAGTGTGTGGGGTTTAGTGTGCAGTGGGCAGGGGCTTGGGGCGGGTGTGCAGTGTGTTGGTTTAGCGGGTGTGCAGGGGGTGGGTTGGGGCGCGTGGGCAGGGAAGTGGGCAGGGGGTTGGGGCGGGTGGGTAGGGGGTTGGGGCGGGTGGGCAGGGGGTTGGGGCGGGTGGGGGGGGGGGGGGGGGGGGGGGGGGGGGGGGGGGGGGGGGGGGGGGGGGTGGGCAGGGGGTTGGGGCGGGTGGGCAGGGGGTTGGGCGGGTGGGCAGGGGTTGGGGGGGGTGGGGGGGGGGGGGGGGGGGGGGTTGGGGCGGGTGGGCAGGGGGTGGGGGGGGGGGGGGGGGGGGGGGCGGGTGGGCAGGGGGTTGGGGCGGGTGGGCAGGGGGTGGGGGGGGGGGGGTTGGGGCGGGTGGGCAGGGGGGGGGTGGGCAGGGGGTTGGGGCGGGTGGGCAGGGGGTTGGGGCGGGTGGGCAGGGGGTTGGGGCGGGTGGGCAGGGGAGTGGGCAGGGGGTTGGGGCGGGTGGGCAGGGGGTTGGGGCGGGTGGGCAGGGGAGTGGGCAGGGGGTTGGGGCGGGTGGGCAGGGGGTTGGGGCGGGTGGGCAGGGGAGTGGGCAGGGGGTTGGGGCGGGTGGGCAGGGGGTTGGGGCGGGTGGGCAGGGGGTTGGGGCGGGGGTTGGGGTTGGGGCGGGTGGGCAGGGGGTTGGGGCGGGTGGGCAGGGGGGGGTTGGGGCGGGTGGGCAGGGGAGTGGGCAGGGGGTTGGGGCGGGTGGGCAGGGGTTTGGTCACGTGCTCCCGTCTCACCGCAGCACTTGTTACGCGCTGACGCACGCGCGGCCGCGGGGCCTGGCGGGAGGAAGGCCGATGGCTGCGCTTTTCCTGGTGATGTTGTTTGAGTACTCTCCGCTGTTCTACATTACCCTCATCTTCGTTTGCTTTGTCGTGACGACGGCTGTGATATTAGGATGGTGAGCGTCGGGACACAGACACACACACACAGAGTGACTGACTGACTGACTGACTGACTGCTGTTGGTGGTGGTGGTGGGGGATTGTTATTGTTATTGTTATTGTTATTATCGACGTTGTTGCGGAGGCTGCGCCGGTTATTACGGTCACCTTTGTCCCTCAGGTTTGTTTGGGACATTCCTGTCATAATCCGCAACTCCGAGGAGACCGAGTCCGGAGTCCCGGTGCAGAAGAAGCGAATGGTGCAAGTGACCAACCCCTTTGCGCTGGATGTGGCGGATCCGCTTTCGGCGTCGGTGACAGGTAACCCACCCAGTGAGGGCGCCTCCAAACTCGTTCTCCGCCGCTGCCTTTCGTCCTGACAGTCTTTAGTCTTTCTTTGTCATGTGTTTTTTTGTTGCTTAAATGCCTTACCTTAACTCACACGTGTGTGTGTGTGTGTGTGCGTGTGTGTGGTGTGTGTTCATGTTCCTAACCTTGTCCAGCGAATAAGTTTTCCTGGTGGTAATGCTGGAGTGGAAGCCTCTGGTCTGTGTTCCTGCTCCTGCTGAGGTATAGTTAACATGTCAACATCCTGTCAGATTTGGAGTAATCACCTTTACACACTTAACATTTGACCTTGAATTCTGCTACTTTCCTTCTGGTTCTCCCACGTGCATTTTTGTGGCGTCGGGTGAAGGTCGCCTCCACGGATTAGAAACATCGATACAAACTGAAGCTACGTGTTTGTTTAATGTAAGCAAATCCCCCGAGGTTGGACTGGAATTCCCTTGCTGTTCGCAGGAATTTCATTGATTGAGGAATTGTGTGTACGATTGGCCTAAAAGTGACAAAAAAAACTTGGGCTGCTATCTAAAGATCTACGGCTACATGCCCCATGACACGGCACAGCAAAAAACAATAAAGAACGGGATCTTTTTATAAAAGCAATGAGTGTAAATCAAGTTATTTTAATGTGATCTGCAAACGTAAACTAATCACAAGCAAATCATGTGATTCAATCTATCTACAGACTCGCTGTTCTACCATTGATTCTACCCGGTGTTTGCCAACACTCTGAGCAGTGGTGTGTATTGGTTCATGATGGTGTTCTTGCCATTTGAGAGGTGACACCCCCCCTGACAGTGGTACACTATATTGCCAACTCGCTTCCATTGCTTCTCCAACCTTCAAGATGAGACATATGTTGTAGACAGCTACTTGGAAAGTAACATTCACTTTCAGAAGAGTGAACAGTATTTCTGAGAGAGAATGTTTGCTGAACTGAGGTTGATTGATAGCCATGCCATGTGTGATCCTGAGGTGGGCTGAATGTATTGGGGTCCTTGAGGTGCACAAAATATTAATTTTAAACAATTTTCCCTTTTGTTTTGTTTTGGATTCCCTATCTATCCCATGGTGTCTTGGCCTCTTCTGCTCTGCACATCTTCAGTGTTAGTTCAAAGTTAGTACTCCGAAGGCCCCCTGGATTTGAATACCCTTTCACCATCAGATGGCTGTTTAATAAAGGAATATTAAAATACGTAAATGAAAAAATAACAATTTTTATAAACTAGTTTTATTTAATAAAATTCTCCTAATGGCAGGGGATTCAAACTCAGGAAACTTCAGGAGATTTGATTTAGGTCAAGTAAGCTGAAGAAGCTGCCTGAAGGAGTTGCTGAGAAGAAGAGGTTGAAGAACCATAAACTGTTTTCCAGGAAATAACATTTTATCTCAAAAGATGGCACAGCAGGGAAATTTGAGGTAGGTAATGTCTTCTCTTCCATCTAAAGCACACTCTCCATCGGAAGTATACCAGTCCATCTAAAAACAAGATCCCAATTGATATAACAGTTAGGGTTTCTACTCTGAGTTCCAGATCGTGTGTGTATTGCTATGGGGAGGTCCATTGCCCTCTACTTGGTAATTCCACAGAAGAGGACAATGAAAGATGACAAACCCATTGTGATGTACCGCTTGTCTGATGGCTGAAGTGCAGATTGGCAGAGGCCTGAGAACAGGACACCTGTTTTCACTCCACATGAGATGTGCGTCCAGACAAGACCTGTACTGTGTGGGATATATGGGTTTTAATCCTGCATTACTCAGTCATGTTTGAAGACTTGGATTGCTTCCTGCTAGACAGCCTTGCAGCTGAAAAACAGCTTGTTAAAGTGCTGCTTCATATTCCGACTTCTGACTCACTGAGAGTGTAAACATTACGCTATAAAACCTAGCCTTACTGGAAATGGGTTCAGTTGAGAATTTTCTATAGTTGTTTTAAATCCAAAGCAGCAATTCCCATGATAGCTTAGTGGGTAAAGTCAATACCACAGTGTCATGAAGGCTTACAGAGCATCAATGGCTGACATCACTCCCTTAGCTGATCTCAGATTTAGAACCACTAATGCATTCCTCAGGAGCCTTCGGGACCCTCATCCAAATATCTCTTCTTCATTTGTGAGCCTTGACAGCGATTGTTACCTGACGATTTGACTACTGAGGCATCAAAACAAACTTTGATCTCTGGATAATGAGATTGAACCTTGGATTTCTCCCCTCCCTCTGATTGCCCCAATTGGTATTTGAACCTAGAGCCTTTCAGATTATATGTCTTGGTGCAGCACATGGCAATTAATTTAATCACTAGGGATATTAGATTGAATTTTGCTCTATTGAAAATATCCAAAAAGTTACTGGTATTGTCAATGTAGATTCTGGAAATGAAGGAGGTGTTTGAAATATACTGACCTTTGGATAAATGTTCATGACGTACTATTTTTACAATGTTTTGCTATACTTACCCAGAACTGGTTAGTCTTGAATAAATCATAAATGGTTCAAATACTGTTTATTATGAGTGTCAAAAATTATATTATACAATATTAATTTTGTAGATCCTTATTAGAGAATTCACCTTTCAGTATCTACATTTTATGTGCACTTTTCAACCATCAGTCTGGAAGATAAGAATTTTATGGGCTCTGATGCCTATAAATAATTGGAGGAAATGGGTATTTACATAGTACAATGTGTCTTTTGTTCTGCAATTTCATGCAGGTAGAATAAGCCTAAAATCTCACTGTATAGAGAAATGTCTTTTGACCACCTACTGGGGATGCAGTGTTCAGAAACTCCAAGAAGGATTGCAGAAACACATTTACAGTTCCAGAATAAAGGAGCCAAATAATCTAGAAGAGGCAATAGATGGAGAATACCTGCATCGAGAACAATTTCTGTATCCTTTTTCAGTTTCAATGAATGCTTCAGTTTGGGTGCATATCTGGAAATTATAATTGTTTATTTTCGCATGTGTAACTTCTTGATTTATTTCAGTTTGAAGTTTCCACATGCAGACTTTCCAAGTTGTTTGTTATTATGACTCATAGACTTGACACAACGTTTAATATTGTGGAAGCATTGCTTGATGATCCAACTATCCTGGGCTTCTGAGTGAGAAGGAGGCATTACATGGAGATGAATTCTTTGTTTCAAGTAAAAACTTTCAAAACCATGCCTTGGTAAAAGAGAATGTGAACTAGTGCTTACTTCATTTATGCATCAGTTTTACTTTAGAATATTATTTTCATTTAACAAAATGAACTAGGATTGAAAAAGAAAGGACTGATAAAAGGTACTCTCAGTTGCCTAAAAATTCTTTGATTAAAGATTTTGGGAATCTCCCTCGAACACGATATCCACTGGTTGCAATGTTGACATTAGCAGAAGAGGAAGACCGAGAAGTTTATGAAATTGTAAGTGAATTTGTTGAGGGTCTTTTAAAAATATTTGTTTAAAAATGCAATATATTACTGGTTTTACTAAGTTTTCAGTTACCAAAATATCTTTCTTGAAAATAATATGTTGAGATAATAATCTTTCACTTAACTCCTGTGTTTCTCTCTAGGTTTCTCTGGTGACTGTAATTCACATCCCCGATGAAAAATATGAACTCACGTGCCGAATCTTGTATCAATATCTGCTCACTGCCCAAGGTCATGTATATGACCTTAAGGTAAATTTTACCTGTAAATGTTACAAGAAAATGGGAATTCAATTCCTTCTGATATTTTATAGATCTTTCAGGTAACAAATAACACCAACCAGTAATAGGTACCTAATGTAACTTCAGCAATTACATTTTCTACATATATACTATAATTGTGTTTTCCTTTTCTTCCCTACCTGTAAAGGCATTAATTACATTCAAATACAGTTTCTCTGGTCCTTTGCCCATACTGCACAGTACGTTATCACAAGAATTGTTTCAAATGGCCCTGACCCTGTGTTCTAGTTTTGATCTCTATCCAGTGTAAAGTGTAAGCAAGTGCAGGATCCAGTGTTGTGTTGTGTTGTGCTGTGTTGATGCTAAATAATGCTTGTGGAACTATAACCCTATTGGAGTTGATCCCTTTAGGAGAAAAGATAAGGAAATTGAAGGAAATAATTTGTAATATAACATATGGATTTTCCATATTTGTATTGCTCCTGAATTCAGCAGCTGGTAGTATTCATTGACTTGGTTAACTGAAAATAACTGCAATGTTAACCGCTCTTTTCACTAGTTAAAGAAGTTATTCTGTGTTTGTTATCCAGAGGCTTTTTATATCAGCTGATGACCACAGTCTTCCTTCAGCCAAGCCTTCGGAAAAGGATGAACGGACTAAAAAAATTTTGGAAACATTTGAGACCACAGAAGACCTTGATTCCCATGACGAAAGCAGTAAGGATTGCGTTGTGTGCCAGAATGCTCCTGTAAACTGGGTTTTGCTGCCCTGCAGGCACACCTGTTTGTGCGACCATTGTGTAAAGTACTTCAAGCAATGCCCCATGTGTCGGGAGTTTGTCAGAGAATCGTTTGCTCTCTTAGGTCTGCCAGTAAGAACAGAGATGCAGTGTGGTGCAGCTGAAGATCAAGTTGAAAATCAAATGGTTGTTGATGACTGGGGAGATGTAGATGAGGAAGAAATCCACAATGGTGTAAATGAATGGCTTGAACTTTAAAATAAAACATTGATTTTGCAATATTACAGCTTTATGTGCAATTTCCAACTATGAAGCCTTAACTGAAGAGTGAAAATGCAATATATTGTAATTTTGTTATCTAAATTATTCAGAGTATCTTAGAGTATATTATATTAGGTGTCAGGTGGTATCACTTTCGCTTCTGATTCAGAAGTTTGTAGGTTTAAGCGCTACATCGCACTTTGAGACTCATAGTCTTCTTGGCTGACACTCCAGTGCAAAGCTGGGAGACACTGCATTGGTGGAGGTACTGGCCTTTGGATGAGATGTTAAACTAGCTGCACGTTCAGGTGGACATTAAAGATCCCTTGGCACTAGTCAGAAATATAAGTGAGTTTCTCATGATGTCCTGACCAACAGTCCTCCAGACAGAATTGCTTATTCCATTCATGGCTATTTGTGGGACATTAGTGTGCGTAAATTGGCCGCCACATTTACCTACAAAATAGTCACTGCATTCTACAAAAATCCTGTGAAGTGCTTTGAGAAATTTTAACAACATTGTGGAGCACTGTAGCAAATGCAAGGATAATATTATTATAAAAAGGCATTACTCGCATTCTGACTTGCTTATTTAATGTTTTCATTGACTGAATTACTGGGACACTGGTTACATAAACATGCAACTCCAATAATGACAGAAATACTTCAGCTACTTAATCTAAGTAAACTAAACTGTTGACTTATTTTGAAACAATGATACTTTTACTGCTAGTGTCTTGTAACATACAGTTGTCTCAGGTTCTTACAAGGGCTAGATCTTGAACATAACTATGTCAAATATTAAACTTAATATTTTGGATCCAGTTTGTTGACTGTACAAATTTAATGAATTTTTGTTGATTGTGTATAATCAAAATCAAGTTATAATGATTACAAAACTCATATTTCTTTCGCATTATGTATAAAGGCTACTGTTGTTACCGTCACAAAGTAGTTGTGTTATGCTGTACAGTATGTATATTTGGTTCTTTAAAAAATAATTGCATGTGAACAATGCAAGACTATGGTGAGATTTTCTTTTCAGATCAAAGACTTAATTTAAACATGCTATCAGTTTGATATCTGTGGATGTGAGCTATTTATGAGATTGTACATTATAGTTAAATCATTTTTGACAGAATAAAAACTTTTTACTGTAGAAACTATACATTTCTTTGCAGAAAACATGCCTGAAAATGAACAAAGAAAAATTTCATGTGGAATCGGACCACTCATTCAACAACAATCCGATGATCAATTTTTAAAAAAATGCAGATTGCCCATCCCAATAACTTTACTGATTGGCACCAAAGTACAATTATATTCTACTGCAGAAATAAGGGAGCACAACATTATTAGATGGTGTTAATCTCAAGGTCACATATGTTTTCAGGTTAACATTACAGATCCCATGACTCTATTCGAAAGAGAAAGTTTCTGCTGGAATTCTGGCATTAGTTGGTTATTCTCATCATGGTTGTATGTGGACAAATGGCTACTGCATTGCCTGCAAGTGTCATTAAATTTAACAGCAATTTCCTGTGAAGAGTTTTAAGTCATTTCAAAGTTATTAAGTCTTATTGAGTACAAAGATTATTATACCATCCAATATTTGAGTTTTTGCAGAATGTTATTACCTTTTGAGAAAATATGTGTCAAAATAGATTACAAGAGTGGTTTGAATGAAGAAGGCCCTTCGACCCATCTGATCTTATCTTTCCAGAATGCCCATTCTACTGTCCTCCCATCATAGCATCAAGTTTTTTTAAACCTAATATCTGGTGTTAATCACCCTCCCAATTCTCTAGCAAAGAATAGATCCCATACTCTGATATCCATCTGCTCTTTCAGGTAGTTTGATTTCTATGGTTGAAGATTCAAATTTGCAATCTTCCACATTACCGACAAGGCATCAGAAATGCAGGGATGGGGGGGAAGCACTCAATGGGAAGACCGACAAACTGAAAAGGGGAGTAAATATTGTGAAACTTCTAAAATGATTTAAAGAGAAATTACCACCAAGGTGTCATAAAAATCCAATTTCTCACATCTGAATGTGTCCTGAAATTCAGTAAAAATATCTGTCGTGGCTCGTGTATTCCACTAGGAGGCAAAACAAACCTTGCAGTGTGCTCTGATTCAGACTTGGGAATATGGGAGATATCAATACAAAGGAATTTTGAATGAGTCAGTAAAGAATTAAGTACTTTGCCATGTTCAATTGCATTAGTGGATGCTTAAGTTGGTAAAAGGGAAATGTTCAGTTTATGTGATGCTGATATTCAGTTTTCATAGTGTGAAGAATGAATGAATTATATGCAATATTCCTTAACTGAATTCACCAGCACTACAGTGACATTTATAAACTGCATTGGTACTCTCCACGATGGAAGTAATTTATTGGAAAGCATATCGAGAGTCTGCAAAAAATGATGCATAGAAATATTTTGATAAAAACATTTCACATACATTTCAATAAATACAACCTGCAAATAGAAGAATTAATAATAAATATAAGTACATATATCAATGTTTTCATCAATATCAAGGGATGCCATGTAATCAAACTTTGATAATTCCGTTATAAATCAACTCCTGTCACTCTTTATTGAATGGGTTGTGCATTGGTAAAATTTCTTGGCCAATTGTACATTGAAACTTGTGTTAAATATGTTAAATAGTCCTTTGTCTTGTCTGTTAGCCAACACAAATACTGACAGCATTGACCATTCTCCAGTTGAGACATATTTGTTTTCTGTAACTTGGATCTGAATAATACCGTTTCCCATGATAATTTAGTAACATTGCACATCCTGTTTGTGCTGGGCATTTGGCGACTATTAACAATAGAAGAAAACATCGGTCTGTCTTCTTGGTCTATTTCCTCCTTTTTATTAATTGTGTTGAGCTCTGTTGAGTTGCATCAATTGTTTTTAATTATTAATTTAATTAATTAAAAATAACCCCACAGCCAAGGTATATTCTAGCCATTTATTATTAATGTATGTATTATTAAGATACTAAACTTACTAACCTAAACTGACTTATGAATATAAATGGTTGGCAAATACTAGTTTATTGACATCTTAAAAGGCTGTAACCAGAACAAAATCTCAATATGTTTTCAGTGTCATTGTTAATTCTTTGTTGATCTACATTATTCCTAAAATATACATAGAATCTCCAGTTTTATCAGCAGTATTCTCTGTTTATTCCTGAAACTACAAATAAATATGCAAAATAATTAAAGTATTTGATATCTCAAAGACATTTACTTGAAGACTTCCAAAAATATCTTTACAATTCTGAAACTCAGATCGATTTGCTAATCATTTTAATGTAAGTGAGGGTGGTAGGTCAGTCACCTAGTTGACCATTCCATTGGTTCTCATCAGCACCTAGGTGTCTCCAGCTTTGATTCCATGAATCTGTTTGGCTGTCAGTTCAGACTGAACTTGTGGTACAAGTTCTGCTGAGTTTCAAACCCCAACCTTGGGTTCCACATCCAATCCATTGCTAGGACTGCCTTATTTATGATTGTACAAAGTATGTGAGATTTAATCCTCTGCCTCATAACATTGTGACTCCCACCTTGAGATTTTTTTTGGTCTTGTAATTTCTCTTCAATATATTGTATTATACTCAGTTTGATATTTGTTTGCAACTTAATAAAATAAAACTCCCTATCAGTTTAGTTCCAAATTCCATTGCTTAGTGGTGAGAGCCAGACAATGCAATATTTACTGCCACTAACTATAATAATAATAATAATAATCCTTGCATTTGATATAGCGCTTTTCACGTCGGGAGGACGTCCCAAAGCGCTTCACAGAACACACTGTAAAGTGAATTGACTGTATATTTGTGGGCGAACGCGGCAGCCAATTGCGCACAGCAATGTCCCACAAACAGTCGTAGATCGAAAATGACCAATTTATTATTGTTTTTGGTTTTGGAGGGATTATTATTAGGCGTGTGGAGTAAGAAAACTTGCCCAAGGTTTCGCCCTGCCTGGAATTGAACTCAGGTCTCTCGCTTGCAAAGCGAGTGCTCTAACCACTGAGCTACAGGACTCCAAACTATATTCCTTACTTTTCCCCTCTTCTGTTGTCTTGTAAGCATGTATTCTCTCTTATTTCTTCTCATTTATTTCCCTTCTAATTTCCTATTTTATTCACGTTTTGCATTATTTCAGCTACTTCTCAAAATATCACAATGCTTCACACAGACTCGCTTTATACTTTGCTCCAGAGATTGAAAACAGCCCTCCCATCTTCCAAATGAATGGACCGGTCCTATTATATACTTTCTACAGTATGGGTATAACTCATGTGCCATAAGCTCTTAAGATAGTTTTAAAGAAGCAATTGGTGGATGTTTGCACTTTTAGATATATTCTAAACAGGTATAAAATAGCAGTATTAAAAATTGTGATTATGCAACAACATGTGCTATAAGATGATCTGGCTTGATTTTGACCATTGTATACAAAATAACATGAGCAAGTAATGAATTAAGACATGTGTGAAATCATTCAGTGGTTTTAGGTTTACATGTACAAGACCAGCTATGTCAAGTCAAGTGCATACTGGCCAAAATCCAATTTAAAAATACATACACACATCTGCAATTCATCCCTGACCATCCTCTAAATATAACCTAACCAACTGTGCTAAAAATAACCTCTGACTACATCTCAAACAAATTCTTCTGTCCGTTCTTATAAGTAAAGAGTATGTCATAGCACAAGACTACTTTTGTAAATAGCCTTTTGAACCCTGAGAATGTTGTAATACATGAATCATTATCAGCTGTTATATTTTTAATCGACAGTTAATTTTCTAAGTCAAAATGTAGTCAAACCTTATTCTTACAAATGTTTTGAAGACTGGATAAGTAATTATTGTATCACTGTTAGAACTTCGATAGAAACAAAAATAGAGCTCAACTGGAATTAGACAAAAAGTGTGATGTGAAATTCATAAGTCATTAGGCATCTGAAGATTACATTACTTCCATATACCATATGATCCAAACTAGTTACTGATATTTTCAATATACACAACTACTTTTATATGTACAAGTTGAAATACAAGCCAAACGTTTAGCACTTAGTTTGAGGTTACTGTTGGTTACAGTGATATCACACAGGAGGCATGTGCTCAGAAAGGTTCAGGTTGAGCACAGCTGAAGCGTGTTGATATTTATTTGGATGTCTAAAGCGGTTTCATCATCTGTGGCTGGTCAGACTAAGCTTCTGCTCTTTTTCTGCTCTTCTGCTCTTTTTCATTTCACCTCTGGTGACTGACTGTTCTGCCAGACACCTTGATCTCTGTGGAGTTAGGTGACTTAGCCTTTGTTTTCTGTTCATAATAACTTTCACACAGTAAATGTTCACCAGTTTACTGTTTATTTTTAATAACTACAGCTTCGCAAACTACAGCTAGGCAATATCATTTTACTGGTTTGTGTTTTACCAGAAAATACATAAAAGTATTGTCTCTGTTTGACACATTTACCAACCTTGGGAAAATGAGATAGAATCAGATCATGAAGTCCTCAGTCACCATGGATTAGAAAGCTTTGTAAATAGCAGAAAAAGATTTTTTAAAAATGGAAAATTTCTGCAAAATTCTGGGGACAAAATACAAGTAACAATAATAATCCTTGCATTTGATATAGCGCCTTATCACATCTTCTAGACGTCTCAAAGCGCGTCACAGAATATACTGTAAAGTGAATTGATTGTATATTTTGTGGGCGAAGTTGTAAGTGTTTATTTCACATATATTTACTTAAATGGAATTGATTGTTTAAATAAACAGGAACAATTAAGTTGCAGTATTGGCCAAAATGTTTTATAAAGGTTTTAAAAACCATAATATGCTGAACACATACCATCACTTGCTTGATATTTTAATGTAATTGTTTAACTATTTTTTCTTCTACCGGTTGTACAAAACATTATTATATTGTCGTCTATGTGCCGAGCCCTGGCCAGTGTCAGTAAGTTCACGTGTTTCTCGCTTGGTTGATTTTGAATGGATGAAACGTTCCTCAAATTGTCACAAGGGAGATGTCTGCCGGGGGAATACTTTAATAATACAATAATAAATGGGTCATTTTCAATCCACGCCTGTTTGTGGGACACCGCTGTGCGCGATCGGCTGCCGCTATTTCGCCCCCAAGCATACCGTCAATTCACCTTACAGCATATTCTGTGAAGCGCTTTGGGACGTCTGGAAGCCGTGAAAAGCGCGATACCAAACGCGAGGATTATTAGCGTTATTGTTTAAAGTGGCGTCGTTAAGGCGCAACGTTCAGCGTCTCGTGCCTTAGCCAACAATTTCAAAACCGTGACCTACGAAGACGCGAAGCCGGGACTGAATCGCGCGAAAGAACAGCGGCGGGGCCTGGAGTTGCAGCCGGAGGCGCAGTCGATTTAGGGCTCTCGCCCGCCTACGTGAGACATCCTCGCGACGCGCTACGTCAAGTTCAAGGATTGTTATAAGATAACCCATGAGTTTTTTTTTAAAAAAACAAGAGCCAACAGCAATGGAGAAGCATCTCCACCGGTGAGGGGGTGAGGGGTGAGGGGTTAACCGCCCCCTCCACCAATATCCGCAGCGATGCTCATGGCGGACCGTGACCCACACCTCAAACACGTGCCGCTGCACTGCTACTTATTAAACAGGGCGGACACGTCCTTCTCGCCTGAGCTCGTGTCAAAGGAGAGAGAGAAAAAAAAGTTTCGGAAACAACCCACTCAATCGGTCGGTGACTTGAGTTGAGTTGAGAAGAGGAGGACATTCAGTTGTGCGACAGGTGAGAGAGAGGCCGCGGTCGCCACGGAGGTTACCCGAGAGCTTGACCCGCCCCCCCCCCCCGTTCACGTGACGAGGGAGTCGGGCGCACGTGACGAGGGCGTCGGGCACGCCCACTCACCTTCGCACGGGGCGGCTTCGGTGATGGCGGCGCACGACGGTTGGAGGAGGGCAGAGCGATCGCGCTTTCCCATAATGTAAACAGTGAGCAGCCCGAGCGGAGGGTCGAGAGAGAGAGAGAGAGAGGGCGGCGGGTGGGAGTGGGGGGGAAGGCTTCAAACCCGCCCCGCGCCACCAACCACCGGACTTTCATACCCTTCTTCCTCTCTCGCTTACTCCCTCACTCACTCACTCACACACACACACAAAAAAAGGCCGTTCGACATATCTGTAACCGACGCACGACCCAGATATTAAAACCGTCCAGGCCGCAGAGTGAGTGAATGGAAGAATAAATAAATAAAAACAGAAGAGCCGCCGCTCGGGGGGGGAGGAGGAGGAGGGGGGAAGCCCGAGTTTCGTCCCCGCTTCGCACTCCACACACACCCCCTAAACCCCTCCCCCGCCCGTCCCCGGGAGGAGGCCGCTGCCGCCGCCGCGGCCTCTATTTCTGGCAGCCCCCATGACGTAATGCTGGTGCGCGGTGGGAAGCGGTGAGGCGAAGCGGAGGGAAGCGGCCTGACTCGGCCTGAAAATAACACTAGCGCCCCACCTCACCTCCCTCCCTCCCCGAGACAGCCCAGCGGCCCCAGGGAATGGGCCCGCCCGCCCGCACCGAGCGAGCGCAGGTTAGTGACCGGCACCGACTGTCGGGGCTCCCTCGCCCGCAGTCAGTCTCTCTCACAGACGCGATGCTCTTTCACCTCTCTGTTTGGGGCCGGGGTTGGGGGGTATTTTTAAATCAATATCGATTGGTCTGTACGTGTGTTCGGGAGGAAGTTTATATTCGGACGAAAGGGTCTTTTTTTTAATATATATATTGACGCATCTATTGACTGAGCTAAATAGTCGATGGTTGGCTCCCAGCCCGAAACTCGCAGCAGCCGAGCTCTTGTCGGAAGCTAACTTTTTTTTTCTTGGCAGTCGTTTAGCGTGTGTGTGTGTGTATGTGTGTGTGTGTCGGGGAGGAGTGGGTGCGGTGGGGTGGTGGGGGGGGGTACCTTTTAAAAAGCTCTGCATTTAAAAGCTTCGCCTCTTTTCTGCAATGAAACTGCTCCACTTCATTGCCAGTTTCCGCGCCCTGAATGCGCCGCTTGTTCCAGTCCCCGGTGTGTTGGGTTGAAGGTAGGGGCCTTTCCTGTCAAGACTGATGTGTATTTTATATATTCAAAAAAAAACACACACACACACACAGACACACACTGGTGGTTGCTGCGGGCGATGGTGTATTTGAGGTTTGGGTGGGTAGTTTATTTTAAGTCTGGACTGCATTGGGGCCTGTACCCAGAAGGGAGTGCGTTGCTGTGCTTTGCCTTTAAGCACAGCCGAGTTGTTGCTGCCCTTCCAATCTCTCTTATTAGCACTTGGCCTCCACATAGTACTGTATCGTTTTACCTCTTCTGTAGTCTTTCGAGGGGCTTGGTTACAAAGCTTCATTTATATAGTTGCCCACGTAATGGTTGGACTATCAACCATAGATATTGGGAGGGAGAGGAGCTTGAAAAGTTTATCTAACATTAGACAACAGTAAATTTGAACGAAGCTTTTGAATTTCTTCCAGTTTCGACCACGAATGGGAATGTGGGCGTTGAGGATTAAAACTGACTGTAGGGAGAGACGCTTTCCAGTCTGAGCTCTAATTCGGGCAGGTGACATTCTTCCAGTGCCTCCTTTAATTTCTGTCCCACTGACTTGCAGGAAGAGAGATCGTGTCAACAGTGACGTTATTCTACAGAAAAGGAAGAAAAAAATCGCAACTCGGTCCACATCAAAAAAAAATGTGACAACCCCTCCTCTACATATGCTTCTGAACTTGGGATTTTTTTTTGGTGGGGAGCCTCTTGCGCCGAAGAGAGACAACAATATAAACAAAGAGTTCTAAGGTTGTTCTCAATCATGATGTTTCGAGATCAAGTCGGCGTGCTTGCAGGATGGTTTAAAGGCTGGAACGAATGCGAACAAACTGTAGCGTTGCTGTCCCTGTTAAAACGAGTGAGCCGGACCCAGGCTCGTTTTCTTCAGATCTGCCTCGAGCATTCTTTGTCAGATTGTACCGAGCTTCACATTCTCGAGGTAGAGGCCAACGATCCCGGTAAGTTCGATTAATTAACCTAATTAATTTTTTCATGCTGGTAAAGTGTTCACACCCGAGACTGACGCGGACCAATTGCCAATCGGGCGTTTAATGCGGGAATGTGATTTGCAACGTTTTCATTGACAATTTGTGTTTCATTGCGGCATACCGGCGACACCACATCAACGTAGGGACTCAAACGTTTTGATAAATCTCGTTCTGCAATTTCCTGTGAAATAATCCAGTCATGTCACGTAGAGTCTGGGTATCCTGTGCTTTTTGGGCAACGTGGCTGGTTTTCTTTTACGATCATTTACTTACACGTAGCTTTTTTTTTTCTGTCATACGAATAAGAATCCTGGCAAAATGGAGGTAAACTTAACGTTGATTATGTAGTTTAGAATACCACATTTTTATTTTGACGGTGAAAACTGACAGGAAGATGTTTAAATCTAGGACTATTTTGATCAAATTTTATGTTGAACAAGAATGAGGACAAGCAGTCCAAGTCATCTTCTATTCTATAAATAAATGTCCAGATAAATAAAGTGCATGGTCTATCAAACGACGCAACATTTTGTTTTTAAATGAATGGGTAATCTTTTAGATATTCAAAAATGATGAGTAGTTTGTCATTTATAGCTGATGCTGCGAAGATTGAAATATGACTTAATTCAAAATCGTGTATCTTTTTATTCCATAGGGTCCATTTTACCCAGAATGCATCCAAATTGTAAGGCTAACTTATAAACCACAAGAATCTGGATGAATTACTCTTAATCTTTGTTCTAAATTGACTAAAAAGTTACCGTACCCCTTGAAATAATGTATATCTTTAGGTTTTTTTTCCCTGGGAATACAAAGGGTGTATTGGGGAGAAGTTATAGAGGTCTGCCTTCACTGATTGGTGGAATTCTTTAGGCTTGATTGCAGCAGGATACTGAACAGAGCCTTCAGTGTTTACTCAGAGAAAAGAATGCACAGTCCTCTTCCAGCTGTTCCATATTAGAGCACGGAGCCTGCAAGATTTGGCAGCTGTCTGTACTGCCATTTGCTGACAGCCTCCAGTGCTATGCTCTGCTGCTAGGATATTTATGCATGCATTCAGCAGGCAACCAGAAGACTATTCTAGTCTGTAAATCTGAGATCATATTGGGGGATGGGGTAGCAGAATTTGAATATTTCCACATGTAGTTTACAAGTTTTTTTTTAAAAGCAACGAATGTTTGGTGTTTGTTTCTAAAATAATGTGAGAGTTTTTGATCTTTGGTGAGGTTAAGTTCTGTATTAATTGATCTTTATATTGTCTGTTAACTTGCTATGCATAGATCGAATGGATAGAGACTTAAATATTAGAAAATACCTAATTTGAAGTCCGAAATTCTGCGGAAAAGGTTTGCTAAGCACCAGCAGCTCTGCCACTCGAGGTTTATCTGTTCATAGACCTTTCCTTGGCTTGCGAATCTATTTGGAGAGTATGGACTCTTGTATGAAAGGTTACAACATTTCCATGTCTACATTGCTTTCCTGCTCTATCGGCAATATACCACAAGTCACAGGATTGTATTTCACAGGGAAAGGTGATGTCTTGTGCCCAGCAGTTAAGTACAAACATATGTTTGTAATTAAGCTGCAAAGTTCCCAGACAAGGAGAAATTCTGATTGACTGTATTCAGTGGTTTTGCTCTCAAGTTCTAAACTGGTCAGTTTAAAGACTTAGTTAACTTTTTTTTTAAACTAACAAGAGGAAATAAACTGCACAAACATCTGAGATTCCATGAATGAATGAACAAAATAATTAACCAAAAATAAGTTTTTAAAATCCTAAATTCAACAATTAGCAAGGCTAATTTAATACTTCTACTTGAGATTTCTTACTATTTTAGACAAGAATATAGTTGACTATGTTTCAGAAAATAAATATGAATACACAAAGTCTCATACCAACTAGTAGCCTTAAACTATCAAAAAAGTTATGGTTCAAATTCAAGGCAATTGTCACCTACAGACCTGAGTTTTGAACTTGAACTGCATGAAGGTTTTACTATTATTACTAAGCGCTTCCAAAAGTGACTGTCAGAAAATAACTTGACTTCTATTAATTACTGCGGTCTATCAAATTCAGTAAATGATGAGTTTTGGCATGTATGTTTTATTGATGATCCTTGATTCAATCATTTTAGGCTGAAAATTTATAGCCTGTGATCCTTGTCATACCTACACAATTGATGGATCTAAAGGAGTGCGAACTGCTTCTGTATCTGGTTTTAAGAAATTGGAGTAAATGGGTAAATCTACCTTTTTCGTTTTTGGTGTCTATCCCTTCCTTGGCCCACCAAAGGGCAGTTGTGATACTAATGTTGGAACCATTCCGTTACTGACTGAGCTCATTGGTTTATGAGGTTTAAGATTTTATTGATGTGGTACTATAATTCACTGAATTAGGGAGAATTTCTTTAAAATTGGCAGTAGCATTCTCAAATGGGCACATGAGGGCGATTGTGGAAAATATGCGATTATCTATGCAAAGGATGACTAGGCTTTGTAACTTTAATACATACTCTTATGCATGTGACAGATTGTCAGCTGTTTCTGGGAGTAGCTGCTAATCTGACATTATCAGAGCAAACTTGCTACTCCCGGCTGGTGTTGCTGACCAAACCACCCCTTCCAACTCCCAGGTTTCCCTCCATCGTTTATGTTTGATGCTGCCCTTACGTTTGGGGTGAGATGAGGTTAGAATGGCAGGGCAATCCTGACATCCTAATGCTACAATAGCACTCATCTTTCTCCCTTTTCCTTCACCCACCGCCCCCGACAAGCTCAAACAACAACAACAACTTGCATTTGTATGGCGCCCTTCACGTGGGATAGCGTCTCAGAACGCACACAAATGCAGGTTCAATGCCTTGCTACCTGAATTGAAAGGGGAAGGTGGAAGTGGGTCATGGTGGCAAAGTTCAGATTAAAACAGGTTGGAGATTGTGATATTGGATGAGCTGATAGGAAGGATTGAGAGTGGAGAAAGACTTTTGAATTCATGTCAGGTGTTCTTTATAGTTCTATTGAATCTTTGCAATTTTGTAAGGTGATCTATGAACAACTAACATTTCAATATTACTGATAACAATGTTTCCAATTACAGTAACTGCCACAAATGTCTATTTAATTTAAACATGGCGCGTGTGGGTTGGGGATGGACACAAAACACAATTGCTCTAGAAACGTCAGTTTTTCTGACCAAAATAATTCTTGCAAAATAAAAGGTTTAAATCCAATTAGGAGAGAGAGAAATGTTACTATAGTGTGATTAGGCTTGTACCATTTCTACATTTAAATCAATCCTGTAATGGAAAGTGTGTGTCTGATTTTCCTAGCATCCCAATGATTTGAACCCCTCTCAGACTTCCAATATCCTGCTGCCTTGGTAATAAGTTTCCTCCATTTTCAGAATGAAATATCTTGGAGCTGGAACAATGGGATACAATCATTGTGTAACTGGTGCAATAATGGTTTTAAAACTACTTATTCTGCGCCCTCGGAGGTACAGCTTAGTGATATCCAAAAAGGTTTACCCAATAATAAATACTGAAATGAAAAATATAAACTATTTTGCTTTGACACATTTGTTTTGCCTCTTTGTAAAAGTAATAGCTTATTGATGGGAAGAGAGATAAATAAATTACTTTCCTTTGTTTGTGTGGCTATCTTAAAGGTGAAAATAGTAACTGATGCATACAGTATGCCCAAATTCTTGGGAGAAGAGAATTTGATGAGAAGATCCATTTTTCAAAGAGATTTAATTGACAAACTGAATCAGAATTTTTTCAAAGACTAAAAGTAAATGTATTAACCATTTGGAAAACATTAAGATTTCTGCACCCATAGTTACTGACTAGGTAAATATGTGTGTGCATGTATTTGTAATTGAAAGCAATTAAGTTAATTTAGTAATCTGGTTGATAACTAGTCTAGGTATTGGAGGTATTAGACAATGTAAAAGGCAGAAAGCTATCATTATGTAATCCAGTTAATATAGGATTGGGTTGTACTTTAATTTAGCCTCACTAAGTACTATGATCATTAATTTATTAGGAATTTATTAGTTCCTGTATTCAATATGGCAGCTTTACCCTCCAAGATAGCTGTGATCACAATTCTCCATATAGCCATTTTAAATTGGTGACATTGCTTTGCCTCATGGTGAATGATCATCTGCTTTCAGACAACTAAGCTTATTGGAACAAGCCAATGGCAAGTACAGTATATAACTTTTCAAGATCAGTGTTTGGTGCCTTGGATAATTTATCAGCTATTACATTATCCTTCAATGTTTCTAGTGGGAACTCCTCTGTTACGTGTAGAACTGAAGTGTGATCCCTCTGCTTTTATCATATTATGCTGTATTAAAAGAAGCATGTTATCATAATATTAGGTTGAATATCTTAGAGGCCAAATCATAAGTGAAGCACGATAAAGTGAGGGTCATCAACTCTGGTATGCGCAGGTAATGTTGCTAAAATTACTTCCGGGGTCATATGAGCTTTCACTGCTTTCACAAAGTACTGCCAGAGGTGTTTCCTACAATACTTTGACATAAGCAACTGGTCAGTATCAGAAGCTGGGTAGTCTTCATTTCAGGTTCGTGCACAGCACAGTTCGCGGGATACCAGTCCTATAAGTAAGGTGACATTACATGGGATGTGTGAGGGTGAAGTTGCCTTTGGCATTTGGCACTCTAGTTTTGCAGAGTTTATAATTGTGTGCACTCCTTTCTGATCATCACCTCCTATGTCTTGAGTGCACTTCTCTTAAGTAATGCAGTTTTTAAAAGTATTGCAGCCTCATCTGTGCCTTGATGCAGCATGGAGTCCAGCGACAGCAACTATTTTGGCATCAGTTACTTTCATGCATCCAGGGTGGAGGAAAACCTAAATCCTGGCAATCTGAAATAAAAACATCAGATGCACAGGTGATCTGAAAGTGGATGTAGGTTAACCTTTCTGGGTGCCTAGTTT